CAGTGGAGAGCTGCCATGGACGCAGAGATGGCCTCCTACAGATCCACAGGCACCTACGTCGATGAGGTTCCCCCTCCGGGGGCGAACGTAGTCGACGGCATGTGGATCTACAGGGTGAAGCGGCCACCGGGATCTCCTCCGGTCTTCAAGGCGCGCTACGTGGCTAGAGGTTTCAGTCAGCGCGAGGGAGTTGATTTCTTTCAGACCTTCGCGCCCACCCCGAAGATGACCACTCTTCGGGTGTTACTACACGTAGCAGCACAGAGAGACTACGAGTTACACTCTCTCGACTTCTCTACTGCTTTCCTTCAGGGCAGTCTTCACGAGGAGGTCTGGTTGCATCGTCCCTCTGCCTTCACTGGCTCTTTCCCTCCTGGGACCCAGTGGAGGCTGAGGCGACCGGTTTACGGTCTTCGTCAGGCTCCTCGTGAGTGGCACGACACCCTGCGTTCTACCCTGTCTGACCTTGGGTTCCAGCCGTCTTCTGCTGACCCGTCGCTGTTCGTTCGTCGTGGCCCCACACCTTTCTTTGTTCTGGTCTACGTTGACGACCTTGTTTTCGCCACCCCTGACAGGGTTGCTTTGGCACACGTGAAGTCCGAACTGCAGAAGAGACACACCTGCACTGATCTTGGTGAGCTGCGCCACTACCTTGGCCTGCAGATCACCAGGGACAGAGCTGCTCGCACCATTACACTTTCACAGTCGCACATGGTGCAGCAGGTCCTTCAGCGGTTCGGGCTTCAGCACTCCACAGTACAGCGCACACCTCTTGCTGTTGACCACAGACTCACTGGACCCTTTCCTGACGAGCCGTTCGAGCCTAGTGGTCCCTACGCAGAGCTTGTGGGTTGCCTCATGTACCTGATGACTTGTACTCGCCCGGACCTCGCCTTCCCTCTCAGCGTTCTTGCGCGCTTTGTTGCGCCAGGGAGACACCGTCCTGTTCACTGGACAGCAGCTGTGAGGGTGGCGAAGTACCTAGCGACGACGTCAGGCGTGGGGCTAGTTCTTGGAGGGCAGCAGTCTGTCGTACTTACTGGTCACTGTGACTCCTCTTACGCTGACGACGCTGAGACTCACAGGTCTACTCAGGGGTACTGTTTCAGCCTGGGTTCTGGAGCTGTTTCCTGGCGGTCCACGCGCTCCTCTTCGGTCTCGACCTCTACAGCTGAGGCTGAGATCTACGCTGGTGCCATGGCGGCACAGGAGCTGCGTTGGTTGACCTTCTTGCTCACCGACCTTGGTGAGCGGCCGAGCTCTGCACCGACCTTGTTCACTGACAACAAGGCGTCTATTCTCCTTTGTCGAGAGCCACGACTGGAGAGCAGAGTGAAGCACATTCACGTCAGGTACTTTCTTCTGCGAGAGTTGCAGAGGCGTGGACAGGCTCGCTTTGAGTTTGTGGAGTCCGAGGCCAACACTGCAGACATCTTCACCAAGGCGCTTCCGCCTTGTGACCACCAGAGGTGCTGTGTGCAGTTAGGCCTTGTTGACACTGGTTCTCGTGTTGCTTAGACTTGAGTGTACTGTTTACTTTGCTTTCTATATATCTCTGTTACTTCTTGGACTGGCCTTGTGGCCACTGTTGTTTGTGCTCAGACTGTGTGGTGACGTTGTGATCCACCCTGAGCTTCGTTTCTTGGACTGGTCTTGTGACCGTACTCGTTTGGTTCTGCTAGACACCCCTCACTTAGGCTATGGGGGTGTGTCAAATGTTGTAGCCTATAGTGAGGTTTGTCTTAGGGGGTACAAAACTTAGGGTTAGCTATATGTACCCCAACCAACATCAATGCACCATCCATTCTTCATTCTGACAAGTCAGGGACGTTGCTAGTTAAAAACCATGTCTGAAAATCAGACCTGGAAAAATTCCTTCGTCTGAGCATCAGATGAATTTTTACAGCTAGTCTGGAAATTCAGACGAATTTGTTTTCCAAGTCTGTAAATCCGGTTAAAAAAAAAAATGCACGCCTTAAAGTATTTTAAGACTCAATGTGTAACTTTCCTTTTAAGATACGGTAGCGCATGCCTTCGTAGTGGAGACACGGGCCTGTGGTAGAGTTCTGGATCTCCCCCTACGCAGCAGGAAATATCCTTGGGCCAACATCATATACATGCAAATTAGTCTGGTAACCCTATTCGATGGTATGCAAAACCGTCGATACCCCAGTTCTGCTTCGCAAATTTGTCTGGTAGCGCCACATAAAACACTGTGTAACAGCTGATGCAGCACAAAAAGGATGCAATGGGTGCAACAATCGATTGCATTTTCAATTTCGTTTCATAGTTTTTTTCACCGCGCTTTGTTTGACGCCTAACAAAGATTCCTGCGGGCAACAATTTTCCGTTAAATGTGCACGATAATTTTAACAGGAAAATCCGTCGAATGAAAGTTAACGGTGTCATTTTTGTAACAATATATTGCACCCCATATATTGCTACCGGGTACTGTTAGGGCAGGCAAGAAAAAAATACAACCCTGAGGGACCTGGACTCCTTTCAGGGAGGGATCAACCCTAAACACGGGAAAGGCATGGTATTTAGGGTTGATGCCTCCCCAAGTGCATCCCTTTTCGACCGGGTTTTATTTTTTCTGTCAGGTATAGTGAACAGTGTTGCTCATCTGGCGAACAGTTGCCCGAAGAAATCGAAGTTTAGCGGAAATACAAGCGCGGTAGAAATCAGTGCGTTGATTCAAAAGAGTCGTGATACTACGGCAATATGTCAATACCTCCAAAACCGAGGTATCGACGGTTTTGCATACCATCGAATAGGGTTACCAGACTAATTTGCATGTATATGATGTTGGCCCAATATCCTTGGTGAGTGAAAACTCACGTCAGAATGCAATTTGACGCGACAGAATGTGTCAGAATGCGGTTTGACGTGTCAGAATGTGTCAGAATGCAGTTTGACACGTCAGAATCTGTCAGACGAAAAAAATACCGTTATCTGTAGATTCAGACGAAGTGTAAAAGCAAGTCTGAAAAATCAGATGAAAATATTATACAAATCTTATGGATCAGATGGATTTTAATACCTCGTCTGCCGATTCAGATGAACAAAAAAAAAATGAGTCTGTTTTTAAGACCATCAGACCAATTTGGTCTGATGTCGACGTCCCTGGGGGAGGATGAGTTCATGGATTTGTTTCGCATAAAGCGTGCAATCCTTGATTACATCATCATCGGGATGGCGCACTACATGCAACCGTACGTAAACAGATACTTCATCAATCACGAGGTGGCATGCCTAGTCGCAATCAAGTGCATGGCAAGCGGCATGACGTTTCAAGACCTGTCAGCCGTTTTCGGGCTGTCCAAGACACTGTGCCACATGCTTGTAAACGCGCTGCTCATGCATTTCCCGACCGTCTTCAAGCAGCAGTGGGTCCACTTCCCGACCCACGAGGCGGGCCCAATACTGGGACCCCTGCTTCCCGAGGAGAGAGTCGAGCTCGTCCTTCATGAACCAACGAGCCGCCACGAAGATGGTGCTCTCCCCGGGGGACCACACGCTCCGCCTGACCGTGTTGAGGTTGCGCGTCTTCGCTTCGCCACGAGGAGGATCTCCGCCACGAGGAGGCGCACCGCCACGAGGAGGCTCTCCGCCCTTTGCGGCAGTCTTGGTTCCGGCCGCAGCAGAAGCACGGCCTCGACGGGGAGGCGGGGCGGTAGGTTGTGTCAGAATTCTTATACCTGCATGTAGTTCTAGCTGTTTAGTGTAGTTATTATTAACTGTTGGTGGTGCACCACTTGTACTTGTTCTCTTGCCTATATCTTCCTGGTTTGCTATAGTGAAACACACTTCCTTACCACAATTCTCTCGACTCTCTCCTTGGCCTAAGCTAGCACTATCTCCTTGGGCCTAGGCTACTAAGCCTAGGCCCTTATGCCTAACTTCAACATGCTATCAGAGCCTGTAACGCCCTGGCCTGTGGCCTAGCCTCTCGCTTCCGCTGCTGTTTTTCCGGTCGCGCGCCTCGGGCGCGTGGCGATTTTAGTTCTGTCCCGCGCCCGGGAGGCGCGTGACGTTTTTTCTGCCCGTCGCGGACCCGCCCCTGGCGCCCGCGACGGGAGCCTGAGCCGCCGCGGACCCGCCCCTGGCGCCCGCGGCGGTAGCCTGAGTTGCCGCGGACCCGCCCCTGGCGCCCGCGACGGTGCCCTGAGCCGCCGCGGACCCGCCCCTGGCGCCCGCGACGGTAGCCTGAGCCGTCACGGACCCGCCCCTGGCGCCCGCGACGGTGCCCTGAGCCGCCGCGGACCCGCCCCTGGCGCCCGCGACGGTGCCCTGAGCCGCCGCGGACCCGCCCCTGGCGCCCGCGACGGGAGCCTGAGCCGCCGCGGACCCGCCCCTGGCGCCCGCGACGGTGCCCTGAGCCGCCGCGGACCCATCACTGGCGCCCGCGACGGTGCCCTGAGCTGCCTCTACCTCACCCCGCGCCTGCCCTCGATCCAGCCGCCCCTGCCCTACCCACACCCCCGCCCCCCCCCTTCCTTCGCCTCCCTGCAGCAGTGGGGGGGAGGGTCTGGGGTGGCGGGTATTGGGGTGGTGGGTGGTGTGTTTTCCTTCCCCTCCTCCTCCTTTCGTTCCCACTGCTGCAGCTGTCGCTGGGGGCAGGGTGTGAGGGGGTGGGGGAGCCCAGAGCGTGGGACGGGGGGAGGAGGGTAAAGGGGTGTCAGGAGTGCCTGCCCCCTTTGCTGCTGTACCTGCTCTGTTACCTTGCCTGGTGTTGTGGTGTCTCTGTCTGTGGTGTACCCCTGCAGGTAGTGTTCTACACTTCGCTATCCCTGCATGCAGTTATGGGGGGATGTCAGAATTCTTATACCTGCATGTAGTTCTAGCTGTTTAGTGTAGTTATTATTAACTGTTGGTGGTGCACCACTTGTACTTGTTCTCTTGCCTATATCTTCCTGGTTTGCTATAGTGAAACACACTTCCTTACCACAATTCTCTCGACTCTCTCCTTGGCCTAAGCTAGCACTATCTCCTTGGGCCTAGGCTACTAAGCCTAGGCCCTTATGCCTAACTTCAACAGGTTGTGCCTCCTCGGGAGCGTCATCGTCATCGTCGACGGCATCGTCGGCGTCGTCTTCGTCCTCGGACGGCGACATGCCCTTGTCCTCCTCCTCACCAGAGTCCGCGTCGTCGTCGCACGCCTCGTCGCAGTCGTTGAAGTCAGAGTCGTCAGCGTCGTCGTCGAAGGCCTCGTCGCCCACGACGCGGGATGAAGCAACACGGTCGGCATCACGGCGACCACGGGTAGGGACATCGCGTGGGGCTTCGAACGAGGTGTCCCCCGCACCAGGCGCACCATCGGGCAGCGGGCCGGCGGGCTTACGGCCGCTCGCGATCTGCTTGTTCATCCAAGCGATGTACGGGATGTCATTGAGATCCCGCGGACTCAAGTCGGTAGTACTAGCTACGGTCTTGCGCTTACGAGCCATGGATATGGCGGGGAAGAGGAAGGAAGAAACAACAAAATCAGAACTGGGGTTTGGAGTACAAGGACGGAGTGGAGTGGGAGAGTGGTGTCAGCTTGGTCGAAACGGTGTGCTGAAAGTCGGGCAGGGATGTGACCTCACGGTCGCATCCACCAATCATCTGTCTGCCCGGGCAGAGCGGTTTCCTGTTCCCGCGCAAAGTTTGCTGATTTCGGGAGTCCAGGTGCATGCGGTACAGTGTGACATTTCGACACGCGTGCGAAGGCCGGGGTGTGACGGGGCCTCGTGTAACTCGTCCGCGACACCCCCGCAATTCCCGCCAACCAATGTAAAATGCAGCGTGGATCGCATTTGTGCGGTCCGCGTTTGTGACACATGCTGTTATATGCCGTTTTCCAGTGTCACAAAGGGATTGAGACACTGTCTCCACAGGAACGTACCCTTAAATCCACGTCGCATTCGCACTCGCACTTACACTCGCATACACATGAATACACATACCGTACGCAACACACATGCATGTTGTGCTTCATTGATGGGTTAGTGTTCAATGCATCATGTTAATTATTAGAAGGCTCCAGTACCATCACTTTCAATTCAACATGCAGTTTGGCTAGCAGTTTACCCACTGCTTATGCCCTCTCCCCATTTTAGCTCACAACTACCATATGTATATATGTTACAGTTTTCGTGTTTCCATAAACTGCATCATTGTAATGTATCGTGACTGATCTAGCTTCTGCTCAGGTTGTGTTCCCTTGTCGTTTTGCTGTCTTTTTGGTGCCCCCAGCAATCGCGAGAGGCCAACAACAAACCCCTCTGTGAATTCGATTTTTTGGTGCAAACCGAACTCCTTTCTTGGCTGGAGCAGCAGCAGCATTGATCTGACGTGGCAATGTCCCCGCTGGAAAGGTCCATCCAGAGGCATATTCGGATCGAAAGAACACGGACATCCTGCTGGCATAGCCTCTGTCAGGTCAGGTGGAAAGAAACCACTCACCGTACCTGAAGCGTGGTTTCGATTTATGTCAAGCCTGGGGAATATTCCCCCGAACTTACAGCACTTTTGTTGCCACAATAGCCGAGACCCTCTCGATTGTGACACGTGGAAAGTTTGACTAATTAGAATGAGATCCTGCCGTTGAAAAGCTCGATGCCAAACCATCCAAGCAAAGGACAGCTTCGTCATGTTGATTTTATCGAAGCGCATGTTTCGAAGCTGACCTGAGGTACACGTTTTGCGCCGCCATTCTGTTCACCGTCCCCTTCCCCTTGCCCCCCGCCACATTTCCACTTTTGATTCTCCCAGTAGCAAACAGCCAAAGCATTTTTTGCCAAAGCCGAATTCCCAGCCTAACAACCAGGCACTGGAGCAAAATTGAACACATTCCAAACCTACCACACTACTTTCACCAACACTCGTTCCGTCGCCGCGCCTGCTGCTCGCAGGAAGCGACTGTAGTGGAACTCTATCACGGGAAGTAATTGTTCTACCTTACGTTGCGAGGAGAAAAAGCCGGCCAATGCCGCGTTTCTGTTATTCACTGTTACACAAAGCAGCCCCGCAGCCGCATTCCATGTATTTGTTTGATCGCCACCACCGTCCTTGCTGAAAGATTTCCCGTCAAACAATCTCCTCCAATAATCCAATTTTTTGTGACACGAACTGTGTCGAATGCTCAGCCACAGAATAGGGACAAAGACGAAGCCCTCATGCCCCCAAACCCGTCAGTTACGCGAAGTTCACAATACGATTTCGTTCAGCCCCAGAGTGGGATCCCAGCATAATCCAGGAATTGGTTCTGGGTTCGGGGAGTGTCGTATCCGGCTTGAAGCTCCTTAGACCAAATACTTTAAAGCCGTGTCTGCCGCCGCATCATACGCCGGAACGGTACCGCATTCTACGGACTCGTCGAATCGCATCGTGGCTATCAAACGGGAAGAAATGGAGATCGAGGAGGAGCAGTCTCCTCCCCAGCAGCAGCGGCGCGCGGGATCAATGGCGGCGTGGCTGGTGGAGGCGCGCGATGGGTCGTTGAGTCTCAGCGAGGACGCGTTGGCATTCGCCATTGCGGAGTGGCAGATGAGCGGCGCGACGAAATCGGCGCGCATCCACCTCGTGCACGTCCTCACGCACATCTCCGTCGATCGTAAGCCCGCCGCCCTGCGCTGCTCGGAATGAATCCAGACCGCATTCGCGGTCTCGAGTCTCGCGAGCCCACCGTGTTATCGAGGCTTCATCTGCGTATTTTGGCTCGCCACGGTGGTGGGTTTTGAGTCGATTCAGAAACTGACGGATTCCATGATAGCTTCGAGCCGTGCCACCCATCGCTGTGTTTCACCCCCCCGTTCCTCTACTCACCTCAGATCTCCCTTGTCTCCTCTGGTGACCATGGCGTTGCAGGCGACATAATGCCTGCCCATTAAGGAGATCATTTCCACCGCTTATTACCATCTCGTACCACTCACCCCTGGTCTGTTGCTGCTCCTATGTCCCCTATCCGCTTGGCAGGCGACATGATGCGACTGCCCATCAGCCACGTCAGCCAGCCGACGACCATTTCGTATCGTCTTACCCCCTCCTTTCCTGCCCTCCTTTCCGTACCATGTCCCCTATTCGCTTGCTCTATGCCATTGCAGGCGACATGATGCGGCTGCCCATTAGCGAGGTCAGCCCGATGACTGCGGAGACCCACGAGAGCAACATGCGCGCGCTGATTCTCGACCCGCTCGTCAAGTTCGCTCGCAAAAACAAGGTGCTAACTCCTCTCAGATTCGCATCCCGCGTCGCTGTGCGCTGTCAGTACAAGTTACGATCGATACTTCCTGCTTTTCAATATTCCTAGCTGTTTTTTAACTAGTTTCCTGCGCGGCTGCGCGCCACGGGCTCGTTCAATCAGGTGCAACGGTCGGCTGTAGGGTTTAAAAGCATTTTTTTCCTCTCTTCCTCCGTTGCCCTTCCGCCGTTCCCCTTCCCAACCCCACGTCGCCGCATCAGGCGGAGGTGGAAGCCATAGTCGTGCGCAACGACGACCGCAAGGCGGGGCTGCTCGAGATCGCGAAGAAGCTCTCGCCGCACCGCGTCTTCGTCACCGCCAAGTACGCTGCGCGCCGTTTCCCCTCCCCCTCCCCCCCTCCTCTCCACCCTTTCCCCACCTCCCCTATTTTCCCCGCTTTCTACCGCGTCTTCGTCACCGCCAAGTACGCTACGCGCCGTTTTCCCTTCCCCCTTTCCCATGCTTTCCACCGCGAGTTGCGCTGCTCCTTATCCCACTTAACCCTTCTTTCCTCCGTCCTCCTTTCCTCCCCCTTCCCCCTCACTTTCCGCCTGCTTCTTTCTCTTCTCTTCCCTTCTTCCCCACCCCACTCCCCCCCTTCGCTTCCCCTCCCTCCTCCCTCTCAGGCCCAGCATGTTTGGGAAGCGGTCCGCCGTCGCAATCATCGACGCCTTATCCGGGCCGTTTTTCGCGGCGCATCTCCCGGACAACGCGCGGCTCGTCGTGCTGCAGGGCAAGAAGGTTCTTAAAGACATCACCATCGGCAGCCCCGGATCCTGCGCCGCATCTCCCGTCGTGGAATTGCCGCGCGGGAATGCTGCTGCTGCGGGGGATGCGCACTATATCTCCGCGCCCCAAACCCCCCCGCGGGGGTTTCTCTCCCCCGCAGGCTCGCGCAAGTACTCCCCCCCGGCGGAGCACGGACAGCGCAGCGATTCCACCTCCCCGCCCGCGTCATCCGCATCCCACGGTGTTACTAACGGCTCTGCTGCGGCGAGCGCTGCTTCTCCGCATCCCCCGCCATCCTCGTCCGGATCAGGCAAGCTGAGCGCCAAGCTGACGTCATTCTGGCGCACCAGCTCGCAAGACTTGTCGGGACCCCAGTCCGGGCCACAGAGGAGCGAGTCATTGGGATCTCCGCCCCGCAGTTTAAAGTCCGCGTCGCCCTCTGAAAGTAGCAGGAGCTTTAAGCAGCAGCGCCCGCCGTCGCCCGGTTACTTCGAGGCGTCGCACAGCAACAAGTGGGGAGACAAAGCGTCGCACAGCAACAAGTGGGGAGATAAAACGTCGCACAGCAACAAGAACGCGCCGCTGAAGCCGGAAATCGTGGTGGACGTGCGCGGGGGCGCGGAGACGCACGGACAGGGGGACGCGGACGCGGACGGGCTGGAGGTGACCCTAGTGGAGGGGGAGACTCCGCGGTCGCGCGGGGGCGCGCGGGGCGGAGCCTCGATGCCCTCCCGCCGACGCTCAGAGGACGGCAAGGTGGCGAACGCGGCGGACGCGGATGCATTCGACGGTCCGTTCGACGGACGCAGCAGCACCACTGGTAGTCTTGTCGCGACGCGACCGCCGCACAGGAACGCGCTCCCGTCTCTTCCCTCGATTTCATCGCAGCCCGGTTGTCTGCATCTGGACGCCGGCACCGTCGCTGGCGCGACGGGGAACTTCAGCGACCGCCTCTGCCTCATGCCGCGCCACCCGCTCGTGCGCGCTTATAACGGGTACATGGGCGGGATCCAGATCGTCGCCGCGCAGATGAACGGCCCGGATTGGCTCTCGGGGTCGGCAGATCCCGAGGGGGGAAAAAACGGGAGCCCTGGGAACGCTAAGGGCGGTACTGGTTCTTCTGATTCGTCTCCCTTCGAGATTGCCGCGCAGCGGTTCATTGCGCCGCTAGAGCACGCGCACATCTGCCCCCTCCTCGGCTGCTCCCCGTCGCTCCGCTGCCTCGTCTACCCGCGCCCACCTGGCAGCTCCTCATTGGCCAGTCGGCTCGCCTGCTGCGGCGCTGGCGGCGGCGGCGGCGGCGGCGGTGCTATGAGTAGGACGAGCAGCAGCAATAGTCTCGTGCATAGGAGCAGCAGCGCAGGGAGTTTCAATAGTCCCGATAGTAGCACCAGTGAGAGGTATGTGGAGGGGAGTGTGGGAAATTGTTCGGCTGGGAGTAGGAGTCTGGGCGGTGGGTCCCTCAGGCCGCTGAGCTGGCAGACTCGGCTGAAAATCGTGACTCAGACATGCCGTGCGCTGACGTGGCTGCACCAGCAGTCGCCACCTGTCGCGGTGGGGTGCCTGGGAGTGGAAACCGTATTGTTGACTCGCGATGACTCGTGCAAGCTGCTGCTGGCGGGTGTGGCAGCATTGGCTGCAGACCCAGGGAAAATGACGGAGAAGTTGAATAGGGAGATTAGTGGTATGGAGGAGTATGTGTGTTTGGCAGAGGATGGGGGAGAGAGGAAGGGATGGGAGGGTGGGAAAGAGAGTGGGAAGGGACAGAGTGGGGGAGCAGAGGCTGGGGATGTGTTTGCTTTTGGGTTGCTGATACTGCATCTGCTTACAGGGTGGGTGGATGGTGGGGCGGTTCGGCAGCTTCTGGCTGCTTGCTGGGCGGCGGCGGATATCCACCGGGCGGTAGAGGTGGTGGCGCGGGCGGCACGCCAGTCGTGTCAGATGCAGCCGTGCTGTGATTGGCCGGAAGGGGTGTTGTACTCTCTAGCAATGGTTGCACTTGAGTGTGCGGAGGAATGTGAGGAGTGGAGACCGGTGCTGGTGGGTTGTGTGATGGATGAGGTCCTGGAAATTGAGGCTGATGCTGAAGAGGGCTTGTAAGCTCCTAATTCACACACCTTGGTTGGTGTGTGCTTTTTGTAATAATTTCCATAAGCTATGTGTTGCTAGGCAGTATTTTTACATGTAATGGGATTGTATTATAGATAATTTATGGCCGAAGCCATAAAACCTTGTATGCAACCCCATCTTTCTCCTGAGTCTTGAGTAGACTTATTTTCTAACATTTAGCATGGGTCTGGTGTTTCCGATTGTACTGAGGGCTCGGAGATCAAAGCATCGATATTGTCCAGCACACGTGATTGGTCGCAATTCAAAAATTTATTCAAGAGTGACGAGCTTGGTCAATTCAATAGTGGGGACATGGTGATGAAGGGACTTCTGCCTGTGGACATTCAAATTGATGCCCTGTGTGCTATTGCAATTCCCGCGTCTTTTTGTGTACATACGAATTTCGCGATGGCGCATTTGGCGCCGCTTCCCGCGCTCCTCGCGCGTACTTCTTCCCATTCAACCCCGTACACTCCGCACATTACGTCTCTAATCAATGCTGAGACGGTTACTCGCTGCAATTCAAGTCGCCCAAGCTATTTCCTTCAAGATCTACAGAGCAAACTACAGCCTAGGCCTCGATACAGCCACCCGTTCCTGCAACAGCCTTTGCGCTCCCCAGCGACGTACCGAACCTCGTTACAGTCACACTCGCATCGAGCATCCCGGCGGCAAATACCACCTTCCCCAGTCCTAGCCGCGACGCGGCAGGTGCAGGTTCCTTCCGAGTCGCGTCGCGCGGCGGCGCGGGTGGATCCGGGCCGGTGGGACCTGTCACCGGAGTGGTGGGGCACGCAGGGCGGCGGCTGGGGAAGGGGGCCGGGCGTCGAGATTTTCTCCCAACGGTCGGATTGGGGGAATGGCACCGTTTCTGTCACATCCCATCCCGCGTCTGACGAGGCAAGCTCCTTCGTTCCCTCGTTATTATCACCCTAGGCACGCGAGGGGCGCGGGGGGGGGGGGGGGGGGGGGGCAGGGGGGAGTGGTGGGGTGTGGGTTAGGCAGAGGGGCAGGAGACGAGGTGTTCTCCCAGCGGTCGGATTGGGGGAATGGCACCGTTTCTGTCACATCGCACCCCGCGTCCGACGAGGCAAGCTGCTGCGCTCCCTCGATATTATCACCTGGGAGCTCTCGTTATGATGACCTCTTCCGTGGCTATCACCCCTCCCTGGCAGGTCTACCTCCCGCCACACCACCTCATCCCTCCCCTCTCCGTGGCTCATTCATCCACTTTCCGCCCCTGAAGCAAGTGTAGTTTTGAGACGTCTCAAAAAGGCACTTGCTTCACCCTTATTCCTCCCCCCTCCGTGGCCCATCTATCCACTTCCGCCCCTGCTCCCCATCCCTCTCCGCCCTCCTTCCGCGCGCCCCTTCCGCAGCGCGGGGAGGAGTGGGGCCAAGGGGGGGGGGAAGGGGAGGAATGTGTGTGGAGGGGCACGAGTGGGCGCGAGCTGCAGTCCAATGAGAGCGCGAGGCAGAGCAAGGCTGCTTCATCGTTTTGTGTCCGCCTTCCCCTTCCCCTTATCCCCGCCCTCCCTCCATCTCCCCCATCTGCAGGGCGCGAAGGAATGGGGGGAAGAAGAGGAAGGGGGTGCAGTGCGCGTGCTAAGGCACGAGTGGCGCGTGTTGAGGTTCAATGAGAGCACACGGCAGAGCGAGGATGATTCGTCGTTTTGTGCCTTCCCCCTCCCCCTATCCCTCTCAGCCGTTTCCCCATTCCCCCCATCTACAGGACGCGGAGCAATGGGGGGAAGTAGAAGGGGCAGCAGTGCGCGTGCTAAGGCACGAGTGGTGCGTGTTGAGGTTCAATGAGAGCACACGGCAGAGCGAGGATGATTCACCGTTGTTGTGCCACCTCTCCCCCTATCCCTCCCTGCAGGACGTGGGGGAGTGGGAGGAAGAAGGGGGGGCAGTGCGCGTGCTAAGGCACGAGTGGCGCGTGTTGAGATTCAATGAGAGCACGAGGCAGAGCGTGGCGCGTGTGGCTACAGTGGCTGTGGATGTGACTGTAACAGGGGAGAAGAGAGATGTAATAACAGGAGGGAAGGGAGAGGGAGAGAGGAGGGGCGTTATACTGCAGCGACAACAACCAGACTGCCTCGCGTTTGAATGTGCGCCTTCAATTGCCTTCAATTGCCCCTTCCGTTGTGAATGTTGAGTCGACTCAGAATGTGTCTTTTGTCAGCATCAGCAATGGCATCAGCTTCAGCAATAGCATCAGCAATAGCATCAGCATCAGCAATAGCATCAGCATCAGTGATAGCATCAGCATCACCGATAGCATCAGCATCAGCAATAGCATCAGCATCAGCAATAGCATCAGCATCAGCAATAGCATCAGCATCAGCAATAGCATCAGCATCAGCAATAGCATCAGCATCAGCATCAGCAATAGCATCAGCATCAGCAATAGCATCAGCATCAGCATTAGCATCAGCATCAGCATTAGCATCAGCATCAGCATTAGCATCAGCATCAGCAATAGCATCAGCATCAGCACTAGTATCAGCATCAGCATCAGCATCAGCAGTAGCATCAGCCTCAGCAGTAGCAGCAGCATCAGCATCAGCATCAGCAGTAGCATCAGCCTCAGCAGTAGCATCAGCCTCAGCAGTAGCATCAGCATCAGCAATAGCATCAGCATCAGCATCACCATAAGCATCAGCAGTAGCATCAGCATAAGCATCAGCAGTAGCAGTAGCATCAGCACCAGCAGACATTAGCATCAGCATCAGCATCAGCATCAGCATCAGCATCAGCATCAGCAATAGCATCAGCATCAGCAATAGCATCAGCATCAGCAATAGCATCAGCATCAGCAATAGCATCAGCATCAGCATCAGCAATAGCATCAGCATCAGCAATAGCATCAGCATCAGCAATAGCATCAGCATCAGCAATAGCATCAGCATCAGCAATAGCATCAGCATCAGCAATAGCATCAGCATCAGCAATAGCATCAGCATCAGCAATAGCATCAGCATCAGCAATAGCATCAGCATCAGCATCAGCATCAGCAATAGCATCAGCATCAGCAATAGCATCAGCATCAGCAATAGCATCAGCATCAGCAATAGCATCAGCATCAGCAATAGCATCAGCACCAGCAGTAGCATCAGCATCAGCATCAGCAATAGCATCAGCATCAGCAATAGCATCAGCATCAGCAATAGCATCAGCATCAGCAATAGCATCAGCATCAGCAATAGCATCAGCATCACTACAACCATCTTTTCCTTCTCTCCCTCACTCCCCTTCTCCAACCTCCCCTCCCTCCCTTCTATTCCTTCCCTCCCTCACTCCCCTTCTCCAATATCCTCCACTCCCCCTTTCTTTGTATTCCCCTCTTCGCCCACACCCCTCCCTGTGCCCTCCTCCTCTCCACTTCTGCTCTTGCCCCCTCACCTACTCCCCCATTCTCCACTTCTGCTCTTGCCCCCATCCTCCCCCTACCTCCCCTATTCTCCCTCCTTCCGCTACCCCGTATCTCTCCCCTTCACCTAAACCCCTTATCCGCACATTTCGCAGACCTCAAGTCCATGGCAGCAGCAGCCCTCACCAGTTGCCACCTGCACCATCCGCACCTGCCTGCCTCTTTGCCTGCCTCCCATACCCCATGCCTTCTGTCCCTTCTCTCTCCCCCACTCTATGCCGTTGGCCTCACATAATGCAGACCTCAAGTCCATGGCAGCTGTGGCCCTCACCAGTTGCCACCTGCACCACCCACATCTTTCTGTCCCCCCTGCTGCATCGCCTACGGCCTCTCCACCCCTGCGCGTGCTGTGCCTGGGGCTTGGGGGAGGCAGTCTGCCTCTCTTCCTCGCTCACGAACTGCCATGTGAGTCCCACCTGCACCAGCTATACCTACCTGCCATACCTCCCTATCTCTCCTGCTGCCTCTCCACCCCTGCGCGTGCTGTGCCTGGGGCTTGGGGGAGGCAGTCTGCCTCTCTTCCTCGCTCACGCTCTGCCATGTGAGTCCCACCTGCACCAGCTGTACCTGCCTGCCTCTCCTGCTCTCTCCCCCACCCCTGCGCGTGCTGTGCCTGGGGCTTGGGGGAGGCAGTCTCCTCGCTCACGCTCTGCCATGTGAGTCTCACCCGCACCAGCTATACCTACCTGCCATACCTCCCTATCTCTCCTGCTGCCTCTCCACCCCTGCGCGTGCTGTGCCTGGGGCTTGGGGGAGGCAGCCTCCCTCTCTTCCTCGCTCACGCTCTGCCATGTGAGTCCCACCCACCTGTGTGAGTCCCACCCACCTGTGGGTTACACCACATGGGCTTCCATTCATGCATTTCCCTCAATGTCCTGTCCCCTCTCAACCCCCCCTTCAGCCGCCCACATAGATGCAGTGGACATGGATCCAGCAGTCGTCGCAGCAGCCACACACCACATGGGCTTATCTTCACGGCCTTATCCCTTACCCCCAATCTGCTCTCTGATTCTTCCTTCTCCCCATCCCCAGCCGCCCACATAGATGCAGTGAAGATCGATCCAGCAGTCATAGTGGCAGCCACACGGTGACACATGCGCTCTCCCCCTTACCTGCTTGATTATCCCTTCACGCCATCTCTCCCCATCCTTCCCCCAGCTGCGCACATAGACGCAGTGGAGATGGACCCTGCAGTGATAGCAGCAGCCACACACCACATGGGCTTCCCAGCATGTCCTCTCTGCCCCCACTTCCCCCTCCTGCCCCCATCCTTCCCTCAGCCGCCCACATAGACGCAGTGGACATCGATCCAGCAGTCATAGCAGCAGCCACACGGCACATGGGCTTCCCTGTTAATCGCCCCCACTCCCCCCTGTTCCCCCCATCCTTCCCTCAGCCGCCCACATAGACGCAGTGGACATCGATCCAGCAGTCATAGCAGCAGCCACACGGCACACGGGCTTCCCTGTTAATCGCCCCCACTCCCCCCTGTTCCCCCCATCCTTCCCTCAGCCGCCCACATAGACGCAGTGGACATCGATCCAGCAGTCATAGCAGCAGCCACACGGCACATGGGCTTCCCTGTTAATCGCCCCCACTCCCCCCTGTTCCCCCCATCCTTCCCTCAGCCGCCCACATAGACGCAGTGGACATCGATCCAGCAGTCATAGCAGCAGCCACACGGCACACGGGCTTCCCTGTTAATCGCCCCCACTCCCCCCTGTTCCCCCCATCCTTCCCTCAGCCGCCCACATAGACGCAGTGGACATCGATCCAGCAGTCATAGCAGCAGCCACACGGCACATGGGCTTCCCTGTTAATCGCCCCCACTCCCCCCTGTTCCCCCCATCCTTCCCTCAGCCGCCCACATAGACGCAGTGGACATCGATCCAGCAGTCATAGCAGCAGCCACACGGCACATGGGCTTCCCTGTTAATCGCCCCCACTCCCCCCTGTTCCCCCCATCCTTCCCTCAGCCGCCCACATAGACGCAGTGGACATCGATCCAGCAGTCATAGCAGCAGCCACACGGCACATGGGCTTCCCTGTTAATCGCCCCCACTCCCCCCTGTTCCCCCCATCCTTCCCTCAGCCGCCCACATAGACGCAGTGGACATCGATCCAGCAGTCATAGCAGCAGCCACACGGCACATGGGCTTCCCTGTTAATCGCCCCCACTCCCCCCTGTTCCCCCCATCCTTCCCTCAGCCGCCCACATAGACGCAGTGGACATCGATCCAGCAGTCATAGCAGCAGCCACACGGCACATGGGCTTCCCTGTTAATCGCCCCCACTCCCCCCTGTTCCCCCCATCCTTCCCTCAGCCGCCCACATAGACGCAGTGGACATCGATCCAGCAGTCATAACAGCACATGGGCTTTCCACCATGTCCTCTCTTTCCTCTCTGCCTTACCACCATGTCCTCTCTTTCCTCACTGCCTTACCACCTTCCTCCCCACACGCTCTCCTCCTTCCCCAGCCGCCCACATAGACGCAGTGGAGATCGATCCAGCAGTGATAGCAGCAGCCAGGCAGCACATGGGCTTCCCAGCATGGGCCGTGAGACCCAAGGCGGATTCGCGTTCAGGATTGGAAACACAGGCAGAGGCGCCAGTAGCGGATCAAACGCCGTTGGTGAAGGGCCAAGGGGCTGCCGCTGCTGCAGCAGCAGAGCAGGTGGTATGGCGCGACATTTTTGGAAGGGTGGCAGTCTATAACGAGGATGCAGTGAGCTTCGTTGTGAGAGCTGCAGAGAGGATTGGGAGAGGAGGTGGGGAGGCGCAGAATGCAGCAGGAGGGGAACACGGGGGGAGGCTCAATAAGGAGGCAGGTGTTGGGTCAGGAGATGCAGGAGATGGGGAGGAGCAACAGGAGCCGTACGATCTGGTGCTGGTGGATGTGTTTGACGGTTCAGATGAAACCCCGCCGGAGCTGCTGGATAGGGACGGCCCGTTCCTGAGAGCCTTGGCTCGGGTGGTTCATCCGAAGCACGGCACACTGGTGGTGAGTGCGAGGGGGGTGCATGTATGTAGGTGAGCGTGAGTGTGTGAGGGTGGTCAGTGGTGAGTGTGAGTAAGGTTGGAGCTGAGTGCGAGGGTGGGTAGATAGGTCCATTCAACTCCTCCACACCACCAGATGAACGTGCATGCAGACGCACCGCCACCATCCCTGTGGGAACGGGTGGCTCAATCGAAGGCCACCCGTTGCTGCACCCTAGTCAACCCACCAGAGGAAGTCAACCCCCCCCCCCTCCACGCACCCCCCCTCCTCAGCCATGTGGACTGGGCGAGCTGCAGTCGGGAAGTCAACCCCAACCCCTATCCACGCACCCTCCTGCCTCCAGATGAACGTGCATGCAGACGTGCCGCCACCATCCCTGTGGAAGCGCGTGAGTTAAACACCACCCTTACCCCTCTCCACCCCTCTTCACCCCACCAGGTGAACGTGCATGCGAACGTTCCACCACCATCCCTATGCGTGCTGGTTACATAAACACCACTCTTACCCCTCTCCACCCCTCTCCACCCCCCTCAACCCCACCAGGTGAACGTGCATGCAGACGTGCCATCGCCATCCCTGTGGGAGCGAGTGACTTGAATCCACCTATCCCTCTGCCTAAGAAGCACTCTTTCTCCCTCTCCACCCACCTCCCCACCACCAGATGAACGTGCATGCAGACGTGCCGTCGCCATCCCTGTGGGAGCGAGTGACGGGTCGATTCGGAGATGGATGGGCGGATGAGAGCACGCAGAGGGGCAGGAGGATTCATGCCATTTGTCGGGCCTACAGGTAAGGGCCGAGTGGGCTGAGGTGGGTTCACTTACAGGCTGCGATATATGACGGGTTGGTTTGGGGATGGGTGGGCGGATGAGAGCACGCAGAGGGGCAGGTGACACTCCCCTCTCTCCCTCACTCCCCTCGCTCCCCTCCTCCTCCCACGGTTCTGCCCTGCTTCACCCTGCTGATTCCCACGATTGAGCCGTGTTTTGAGTCGAATCAAAACGCGGCTCATCACACATGGATTATATGTTGAGAGAATTTTTTTTTGCGTGGACGATTGGGTGTATCTTGTTAAAGCTTTTGGTGCGCGCGCGACTACCGAATCTGTTGCGTGGTGAAGGGTTGGACCCTGCTCCCAATGATGACACCCTCGAGGGTTGAAAACATGGCTCCTTGGTGTTTACCAGGGTGGCCTGGATTGGTCCCCAGCTTTTCGGAGCGGGCCAGGGTGTAGATAACCTTGAGTTTCGTTTTACTGGAGGCGTTAGCTTTTCTTTTAAGGCTTCTGCTTCGCTCTGTTTTCATTCTTGTAGGCGTTGATGAAGGCCGGGTAGGGGATGCCCTCCAGCGCAAACATGTTTCTCTTGTTTTAATCTCTGTTAACGAGAGGAGTTCTGGTTTTACAAGCTCTTGGCTAGTAGCTAGTGTTGAAAATTACAGTCTTTTTCCCACTTGCTCAAGCCTGAACCTAAGCGCCGCTGCTCACTGGAAAATGTCCGAAGATCTGGTAACGATTCCTCCTGCTGCAGCATTGACTCTCTCTCCCTCACTCCCCCTTCCCTCCTTTCCTCCCCTCCCTTCCCCACCCTTCCCCTCCTCCGCCCGCTACAGCTCCGCCCTGCTTCACCCAGCCGAGTCCCACAATTCCTCCTCCCTTTCTAGCGGCATCGCATTCACAACAACCACCTCCTCTCAGGGGAATATGACGCTGGTAGTGCAGCGAGGGGTGGTGCTGGGGGGTAGTGGGGATAGGCAAGCAGAGCTGGAAGGGCGGTTGAAGGAGGCAGCAGCAGTGGTGGAGGAGGGAGGGGCTGTGCCCTTTACAGTGGCACCCAGAGTTGTTCGAGGGCTCAAGGTCCTTCCTGTGGAGTGGAGGAGTTGATGTGTAAGGCTGGGGCAGAACAGTAAGGGCAGGGCAATACTGTAACACAATAACGGAGGAGCACTAATGGTATCATCGCATGTGTTTCTATAAGCGAGTTGTAACCTGTACCTATTAATTATGACTCATTTTTGTCCCTTAATAGCAATGCACAGAATGATAAGCAGCCGTCAAATGCGGCACGCAATGATAGGTACATACACACACTATGAACAGATCGAGGTGTAGCAGTGTCAATATAGTACAAGAAACATGGTCTTTACAAGGAGAGGCGCAGTATGACATATATAGAAACTGGAAGGTACCGTACAGTCCACTAAGCATAGCGCAGAGCAGAGGTCGATTAATCCTCGAAAACGAAAATAACTCACTCACTAAACGTAACACGCCCTTTCCGTATACACTAAGTGTTGAGCGAAACAGGGAAGGTGCTGCGCGGTGGAGAGCGGCGTATATGAGGAAAGCCGAAGGGCCATTGGCGGGCACGAGGCGAGCCATGCAAACGTCAGCAACCTAGCAGCCATGGGAGTCCATCATCATTGGATTCCAATCAGTGAAGCCAGAGCGGTGCTGCACGGTGGAGAGTGGTGCCATGAGATGAGGGGCCATGCTATGCTCAGCACTCTAACAGCTGCGGGGGTCCATCAACGATTGGATTCCCATCAGAGTGAAGCCAGAACAGTGCAGCGCAGTGGAGAGTGGTGAAGAGTGGTGTAGATGAGGAACAGAAGAGGGCCACTGGCGACCATGAAAAGAGTCCATGTTCAGCCATAGGGGAGGTACACCACCCACTGAATTACGTTCCGATAAGTGTGAAACCAGAGCGGTGCTGCGTGGTGGAGATGATCATACCTCAGCAACATGCTTATCTCAGGTGAGGGAGGTGGGAATGAGTGAGTGGTGCGGTGCTGTACAGTGGAGAAGGGTAGGCAGGTCACAGCAGGGCTAATGGCATGTGGGCAGGGAGGGGGTCGACGCCATGGCTGAGCAGCATGTGGTCCCTCAGGCGAACGATGTCCGGGAAGAGCGGGCGGTGTGGGAGGAGGGAAAGGTGGGCGGTAGTGGAAGAAGCAGGTGCGGCGGACGAGGACGGGCACAGCAGACAGCGGTACTGGCAAGGGGGGAGGGAGGGGAGGGAGAGGGGGGAAGCAGCAGGAACATGAGAGGGCAGCGAGGAGAAGAGAGGATGGCAAAAGAAAGAGCGAGTTGAGCGATGGGGATGTGAGTATTGCATAACTGGCACACCAGTAACACGCCCCATTCCTCAGTTCAGACCGTGTTTTGAGACGTCTCAAAACACGCCCCATTCCTCAGTTCAGATTTGCGACTTCTCAGAAGCGACTTGCATTTCACGCAACGCATTGCATTTCGAGTGTCATTAGATTCGTGTTACACGATCTTCGTGAGTATCGGGTGCTTAAACAGCATGTTGACTGCATCATCTTGAACTCTCTAGGTGACATTCTCGCTTATGGTCAAACAAGCAGCGGCAAGACCTTTACCATGAAGAAACGCGCCTTCATGGTAAAGGTATTGCCGCTGCTCGTTTGAACATAAGCGAGAATGGCACCTAGAGAGTCCAAGATCATGCAGTCAACATACTGTTTAAACACCCGGCATTCATGAAAATCGAGTGACACGAATTGAATGGCGCTCCAAATGCAAAGACGGGTGGACGAATAACAGACTTGCCTGACAAGGGCATACCTGAAAAACCGCAACTCGCAAGAAACTTACTCACAAGAAACTTACTGAAATGTGTATTATTCAAAAACCTTGTTTTCAATACGTCATTGACGTGGAGCCGAACCTTGTCGTCACATATCTACCACATGCCATCAGAAACACAGCCTTGTGACTTTTGAGTCGACTCAAAAGTCACGTGGAGCCGAACCTTGTTGTCACATATCTACCACGTGTCATCAGTAACACGGCCTTGTGACTTTTGAGTCGACTCAAAAGTCACCTCGTTACTATGGCACACGACATTTTTTTGAGTCGACTCAAAAGTCACGTGGAGCCGAACCTTGTTGTCACATATCTACCACGTGTCATCAGCCTCTGCCGCAGTAACACGGCCTTGGCATGTCACTCAGCACTCCCACTCACCTCGTTACCATCATGCTCTAACAACTCAGCACTTCCACTCACCTCGTTGCCCTCACGCTCATACAGCGGCAATAATGTCAATAGTGATGATGATGATGCCACACCTTGCCTCCATGTAATCAACCCCGCACCTACACGGGCACCAGCAGCACCACTAGCACTCCCACACTCACCTCGTTGCCCTCACGCTAATACAGCAGCAATAATGTCAATAGTGATGATGATGATGCCACCCCTTGGCTTCATGTGATCAACCCCGCACCTGCACGGGCACCAACAACACCACCAGCACTCCCACACTCACCTCGTTGCCCTGACGCTCAAACAACGACGATGATGGCGATGGTGATGGTGATGATGCCACGCCTTGCCTCCATGTGATCAACCCCGCACCTACACGGGCACCAGCAGCACCACTAGCACTCCCACACTCACCTCGTTGCCCTGACGCTCAAACAACGACAATGATGGTGATGGTGATGGTGATGGTGATGATGCCATGACTTGGCCTTGTGCCATCCATCCCACACCTGCATGACCACCACCAGCAACAGCAGGAGCAGCTGCAGCAGCACCAATACCACTTGCACCAACACCACCAGCAGCAGCAACAGCAGCAGCAGCACCACCACTGCCACCAGCACCACCACCACTGCCACCAGCACCACCACCACTGCCACCAGCACCACCACCACTGCCACCAGCACCACCACCACTGCCACCAGCACCACCACCACTGCCACCAGCACCACCACCACTGCCACCAGCACCACCACCACTGCCACCAGCACCACCACCACTGCCACCAGCACCACCACCACTGCCACCAGCACCACCACCACTGCCACCAGCACCACCACCACTGCCACCAGCACCACCACCACTGCCACCAGCACCACCACCACTGCCACCAGCACCACCACCACTGCCACCAGCACCACCACCACTGCCACCAGCACCACCACCACTGCCACCAGCACCACCACCACTGCCACCAGCACCACCACCACTGCCACCAGCACCACCACCACTGCCACCAGCACCACCACCACTGCCACCAGCACCACCACCACTGCCACCAGCACCACCACCACTGCCACCAGCACCACCACCACTGCCACCAGCACCACCACCACTGCCACCAGCACCACCACCACTGCCACCAGCACCACCACCACTGCCACCAGCACCACCACCACTGCCACCAGCACCACCACCACATAGCTCACTGCATCACCTACCCCCACATAGCTCACCCCCCCACATAGCTCACTGCATCACCTACCCCCACATAGCTCACTGCATCACCTACCCCCACATAGCTCACTGCATCACCTACCCCCACATAGCTCACTGCATCACCTACCCCCACATAGCTCACTGCATCACCTACCCCCACATAGCTCACTGCATCACCTACCCCCACATAGCTCACTGCATCACCTACCCCCACATAGCTCACTGCATCACCTACCCCCACATAGCTCACTGCATCACCTACCCCCACATAGCTCACTGCATCACCTACCCCCACATAGCTCACTGCATCACCTACCCCCACATAGCTCACTGCATCACCTACCCCCACATAGCTCACTGCATCACCTACCCCCACATAGCTCACTGCATCACCTACCCCCACATAGCTCACTGCATCACCTACCCCCACATAGCTCACTGCATCACCTACCCCCACATAGCTCACTGCATCACCTACCCCCACATAGCTCACTGCATCACCTACCCCCACATAGCTCACTGCATCACCTACCCCCACATAGCTCACTGCATCACCTACCCCCACATAGCTCACTGCATCACCTACCCCCACATAGCTCACTGCATCACCTACCCCCACATAGCTCACTGCATCACCTACCCCCACATAGCTCACTGCATCACCTACCCCCACATAGCTCACTGCATCACCTACCCCCACATAGCTCACTGCATCACCTACCCCCACATAGCTCACTGCATCACCTACCCCCACATAGCTCACTGCATCACCTACCCCCACATAGCTCACTGCATCACCTACCCCCACATAGCTCACTGCATCACCTACCCCCACATAGCTCACTGCATCACCTACCCCCACATAGCTCACTGCATCACCTACCCCCACATAGCTCACTGCATCACCTACCCCCACATAGCTCACTGCATCACCTACCCCCACATAGCTCACTGCATCACCTACCCCCACATAGCTCACTGCATCACCTACCCCCACATAGCTCACTGCATCACCTACCCCCACATAGCTCACTGCATCACCTACCCCCACATAGCTCACTGCATCACCTACCCCCACATAGCTCACTGCATCACCTACCCCCACATAGCTCACTGCATCACCTACCCCCACATAGCTCACTGCATCACCTACCCCCACATAGCTCACTGCATCACCTACCCCCACATAGCTCACTGCATCACCTACCCCCACATAGCTCACTGCATCACCTACCCCCACATAGCTCACTGCATCACCTACCCCCACATAGCTCACTGCATCACCTACCCCCACATAGCTCACTGCATCACCTACCCCCACATAGCTCACTGCATCACCTACCCCCACATAGCTCACTGCATCACCTACCCCCACATAGCTCACTGCATCACCTACCCCCACATAGCTCACTGCATCACCTACCCCCACATAGCTCACTGCATCACCTACCCCCACATAGCTCACTGCATCACCTACCCCCACATAGCTCACTGCATCACCTACCCCCACATAGCTCACTGCATCACCTACCCCCACATAGCTCACTGCATCACCTACCCCCACATAGCTCACTGCATCACCTACCCCCACATAGCTCACTGCATCACCTACCCCCACATAGCTCACTGCATCACCTACCCCCACATAGCTCACTGCATCACCTACCCCCACATAGCTCACTGCATCACCTACCCCCACATAGCTCACTGCATCACCTACCCCCACATAGCTCACTGCATCACCTACCCCCACATAGCTCACTGCATCACCTACCCCCACATAGCTCACTGCATCACCTACCCCCACATAGCTCACTGCATCACCTACCCCCACATAGCTCACTGCATCACCTACCCCCACATAGCTCACTGCATCACCTACCCCCACATAGCTCACTGCATCACCTACCCCCACATAGCTCACTGCATCACCTACCCCCACATAGCTCACTGCATCACCTACCCCCACATAGCTCACTGCATCACCTACCCCCACATAGCTCACTGCATCACCTACCCCCACATAGCTCACTGCATCACCTACCCCCACATAGCTCACTGCATCACCTACCCCCACATAGCTCACTGCATCACCTACCCCCACATAGCTCACTGCATCACCTACCCCCACATAGCTCACTGCATCACCTACCCCCACATAGCTCACTGCATCACCTACCCCCACATAGCTCACTGCATCACCTACCCCCACATAGCTCACTGCATCACCTACCCCCACATAGCTCACTGCATCACCTACCCCCACATAGCTCACTGCATCACCTACCCCCACATAGCTCACTGCATCACCTACCCCCACATAGCTCACTGCATCACCTACCCCCACATAGCTCACTGCATCACCTACCCCCACATAGCTCACTGCATCACCTACCCCCACATAGCTCACTGCATCACCTACCCCCACATAGCTCACTGCATCACCTACCCCCACATAGCTCACTGCATCACCTACCCCCACATAGCTCACTGCATCACCTACCCCCACATAGCTCACTGCATCACCTACCCCCACATAGCTCACTGCATCACCTACCCCCACATAGCTCACTGCATCACCTACCCCCACATAGCTCACTGCATCACCTACCCCCACATAGCTCACTGCATCACCTACCCCCACATAGCTCACTGCATCACCTACCCCCACATAGCTCACTGCATCACCTACCCCCACATAGCTCACTGCATCACCTACCCCCACATAGCTCACTGCATCACCTACCCCCACATAGCTCACTGCATCACCTACCCCCACATAGCTCACTGCATCACCTACCCCCACATAGCTCACTGCATCACCTACCCCCACATAGCTCACTGCATCACCTACCCCCACATAGCTCACTGCATCACCTACCCCCACATAGCTCACTGCATCACCTACCCCCACATAGCTCACTGCATCACCTACCCCCACATAGCTCACTGCATCACCTACCCCCACATAGCTCACTGCATCACCTACCCCCACATAGCTCACTGCATCACCTACCCCCACATAGCTCACTGCATCACCTACCCCCACATAGCTCACTGCATCACCTACCCCCACATAGCTCACTGCATCACCTACCCCCACATAGCTCACTGCATCACCTACCCCCACATAGCTCACTGCATCACCTACCCCCACATAGCTCACTGCATCACCTACCCCCACATAGCTCACTGCATCACCTACCCCCACATAGCTCACTGCATCACCTACCCCCACATAGCTCACTGCATCACCTACCCCCACATAGCTCACTGCATCACCTACCCCCACATAGCTCACTGCATCACCTACCCCCACATAGCTCACTGCATCACCTACCCCCACATAGCTCACTGCATCACCTACCCCCACATAGCTCACTGCATCACCTACCCCCACATAGCTCACTGCATCACCTACCCCCACATAGCTCACTGCATCACCTACCCCCACATAGCTCACTGCATCACCTACCCCCACATAGCTCACTGCATCACCTACCCCCACATAGCTCACTGCATCACCTACCCCCACATAGCTCACTGCATCACCTACCCCCACATAGCTCACTGCATCACCTACCCCCACATAGCTCACTGCATCACCTACCCCCACATAGCTCACTGCATCACCTACCCCCACATAGCTCACTGCATCACCTACCCCCACATAGCTCACTGCATCACCTACCCCCACATAGCTCACTGCATCACCTACCCCCACATAGCTCACTGCATCACCTACCCCCACATAGCTCACTGCATCACCTACCCCCACATAGCTCACTGCATCACCTACCCCCACATAGCTCACTGCATCACCTACCCCCACATAGCTCACTGCATCACCTACCCCCACATAGCTCACTGCATCACCTACCCCCACATAGCTCACTGCATCACCTACCCCCACATAGCTCACTGCATCACCTACCCCCACATAGCTCACTGCATCACCTACCCCCACATAGCTCACTGCATCACCTACCCCCACATAGCTCACTGCATCACCTACCCCCACATAGCTCACTGCATCACCTACCCCCACATAGCTCACTGCATCACCTACCCCCACATAGCTCACTGCATCACCTACCCCCACATAGCTCACTGCATCACCTACCCCCACATAGCTCACTGCATCACCTACCCCCACATAGCTCACTGCATCACCTACCCCCACATAGCTCACTGCATCACCTACCCCCACATAGCTCACTGCATCACCTACCCCCACATAGCTCACTGCATCACCTACCCCCACATAGCTCACTGCATCACCTACCCCCACATAGCTCACTGCATCACCTACCCCCACATAGCTCACTGCATCACCTACCCCCACATAGCTCACTGCATCACCTACCCCCACATAGCTCACTGCATCACCTACCCCCACATAGCTCACTGCATCACCTACCCCCACATAGCTCACTGCATCACCTACCCCCACATAGCTCACTGCATCACCTACCCCCACATAGCTCACTGCATCACCTACCCCCACATAGCTCACTGCATCACCTACCCCCACATAGCTCACTGCATCACCTACCCCCACATAGCTCACTGCATCACCTACCCCCACATAGCTCACTGCATCACCTACCCCCACATAGCTCACTGCATCACCTACCCCCACATAGCTCACTGCATCACCTACCCCCACATAGCTCACTGCATCACCTACCCCCACATAGCTCACTGCATCACCTACCCCCACATAGCTCACTGCATCACCTACCCCCACATAGCTCACTGCATCACCTACCCCCACATAGCTCACTGCATCACCTACCCCCACATAGCTCACTGCATCACCTACCCCCACATAGCTCACTGCATCACCTACCCCCACATAGCTCACTGCATCACCTACCCCCACATAGCTCACTGCATCACCTACCCCCACATAGCTCACTGCATCACCTACCCCCACATAGCTCACTGCATCACCTACCCCCACATAGCTCACTGCATCACCTACCCCCACATAGCTCACTGCATCACCTACCCCCACATAGCTCACTGCATCACCTACCCCCACATAGCTCACTGCATCACCTACCCCCACATAGCTCACTGCATCACCTACCCCCACATAGCTCACTGCATCACCTACCCCCACATAGCTCACTGCATCACCTACCCCCACATAGCTCACTGCATCACCTACCCCCACATAGCTCACTGCATCACCTACCCCCACATAGCTCACTGCATCACCTACCCCCACATAGCTCACTGCATCACCTACCCCCACATAGCTCACTGCATCACCTACCCCCACATAGCTCACTGCATCACCTACCCCCACATAGCTCACTGCATCACCTACCCCCACATAGCTCACTGCATCACCTACCCCCACATAGCTCACTGCATCACCTACCCCCACATAGCTCACTGCATCACCTACCCCCACATAGCTCACTGCATCACCTACCCCCACATAGCTCACTGCATCACCTACCCCCACATAGCTCACTGCATCACCTACCCCCACATAGCTCACTGCATCACCTACCCCCACATAGCTCACTGCATCACCTACCCCCACATAGCTCACTGCATCACCTACCCCCACATAGCTCACTGCATCACCTACCCCCACATAGCTCACTGCATCACCTACCCCCACATAGCTCACTGCATCACCTACCCCCACATAGCTCACTGCATCACCTACCCCCACATAGCTCACTGCATCACCTACCCCCACATAGCTCACTGCATCACCTACCCCCACATAGCTCACTGCATCACCTACCCCCACATAGCTCACTGCATCACCTACCCCCACATAGCTCACTGCATCACCTACCCCCACATAGCTCACTGCATCACCTACCCCCACATAGCTCACTGCATCACCTACCCCCACATAGCTCACTGCATCACCTACCCCCACATAGCTCACTGCATCACCTACCCCCACATAGCTCACTGCATCACCTACCCCCACATAGCTCACTGCATCACCTACCCCCACATAGCTCACTGCATCACCTACCCCCACATAGCTCACTGCATCACCTACCCCCACATAGCTCACTGCATCACCTACCCCCACATAGCTCACTGCATCACCTACCCCCACATAGCTCACTGCATCACCTACCCCCACATAGCTCACTGCATCACCTACCCCCACATAGCTCACTGCATCACCTACCCCCACATAGCTCACTGCATCACCTACCCCCACATAGCTCACTGCATCACCTACCCCCACATAGCTCACTGCATCACCTACCCCCACATAGCTCACTGCATCACCTACCCCCACATAGCTCACTGCATCACCTACCCCCACATAGCTCACTGCATCACCTACCCCCACATAGCTCACTGCATCACCTACCCCCACATAGCTCACTGCATCACCTACCCCCACATAGCTCACTGCATCACCTACCCCCACATAGCTCACTGCATCACCTACCCCCACATAGCTCACTGCATCACCTACCCCCACATAGCTCACTGCATCACCTACCCCCACATAGCTCACTGCATCACCTACCCCCACATAGCTCACTGCATCACCTACCCCCACATAGCTCACTGCATCACCTACCCCCACATAGCTCACTGCATCACCTACCCCCACATAGCTCACTGCATCACCTACCCCCACATAGCTCACTGCATCACCTACCCCCACATAGCTCACTGCATCACCTACCCCCACATAGCTCACTGCATCACCTACCCCCACATAGCTCACTGCATCACCTACCCCCACATAGCTCACTGCATCACCTACCCCCACATAGCTCACTGCATCACCTACCCCCACATAGCTCACTGCATCACCTACCCCCACATAGCTCACTGCATCACCTACCCCCACATAGCTCACTGCATCACCTACCCCCACATAGCTCACTGCATCACCTACCCCCACATAGCTCACTGCATCACCTACCCCCACATAGCTCACTGCATCACCTACCCCCACATAGCTCACTGCATCACCTACCCCCACATAGCTCACTGCATCACCTACCCCCACATAGCTCACTGCATCACCTACCCCCACATAGCTCACTGCATCACCTACCCCCACATAGCTCACTGCATCACCTACCCCCACATAGCTCACTGCATCACCTACCCCCACATAGCTCACTGCATCACCTACCCCCACATAGCTCACTGCATCACCTACCCCCACATAGCTCACTGCATCACCTACCCCCACATAGCTCACTGCATCACCTACCCCCACATAGCTCACTGCATCACCTACCCCCACATAGCTCACTGCATCACCTACCCCCACATAGCTCACTGCATCACCTACCCCCACATAGCTCACTGCATCACCTACCCCCACATAGCTCACTGCATCACCTACCCCCACATAGCTCACTGCATCACCTACCCCCACATAGCTCACTGCATCACCTACCCCCACATAGCTCACTGCATCACCTACCCCCACATAGCTCACTGCATCACCTACCCCCACATAGCTCACTGCATCACCTACCCCCACATAGCTCACTGCATCACCTACCCCCACATAGCTCACTGCATCACCTACCCCCACATAGCTCACTGCATCACCTACCCCCACATAGCTCACTGCATCACCTACCCCCACATAGCTCACTGCATCACCTACCCCCACATAGCTCACTGCATCACCTACCCCCACATAGCTCACTGCATCACCTACCCCCACATAGCTCACTGCATCACCTACCCCCACATAGCTCACTGCATCACCTACCCCCACATAGCTCACTGCATCACCTACCCCCACATAGCTCACTGCATCACCTACCCCCACATAGCTCACTGCATCACCTACCCCCACATAGCTCACTGCATCACCTACCCCCACATAGCTCACTGCATCACCTACCCCCACATAGCTCACTGCATCACCTACCCCCACATAGCTCACTGCATCACCTACCCCCACATAGCTCACTGCATCACCTACCCCCACATAGCTCACTGCATCACCTACCCCCACATAGCTCACTGCATCACCTACCCCCACATAGCTCACTGCATCACCTACCCCCACATAGCTCACTGCATCACCTACCCCCACATAGCTCACTGCATCACCTACCCCCACATAGCTCACTGCATCACCTACCCCCACATAGCTCACTGCATCACCTACCCCCACATAGCTCACTGCATCACCTACCCCCACATAGCTCACTGCATCACCTACCCCCACATAGCTCACTGCATCACCTACCCCCACATAGCTCACTGCATCACCTACCCCCACATAGCTCACTGCATCACCTACCCCCACATAGCTCACTGCATCACCTACCCCCACATAGCTCACTGCATCACCTACCCCCACATAGCTCACTGCATCACCTACCCCCACATAGCTCACTGCATCACCTACCCCCACATAGCTCACTGCATCACCTACCCCCACATAGCTCACTGCATCACCTACCCCCACATAGCTCACTGCATCACCTACCCCCACATAGCTCACTGCATCACCTACCCCCACATAGCTCACTGCATCACCTACCCCCACATAGCTCACTGCATCACCTACCCCCACATAGCTCACTGCATCACCTACCCCCACATAGCTCACTGCATCACCTACCCCCACATAGCTCACTGCATCACCTACCCCCACATAGCTCACTGCATCACCTACCCCCACATAGCTCACTGCATCACCTACCCCCACATAGCTCACTGCATCACCTACCCCCACATAGCTCACTGCATCACCTACCCCCACATAGCTCACTGCATCACCTACCCCCACATAGCTCACTGCATCACCTACCCCCACATAGCTCACTGCATCACCTACCCCCACATAGCTCACTGCATCACCTACCCCCACATAGCTCACTGCATCACCTACCCCCACATAGCTCACTGCATCACCTACCCCCACATAGCTCACTGCATCACCTACCCCCACATAGCTCACTGCATCACCTACCCCCACATAGCTCACTGCATCACCTACCCCCACATAGCTCACTGCATCACCTACCCCCACATAGCTCACTGCATCACCTACCCCCACATAGCTCACTGCATCACCTACCCCCACATAGCTCACTGCATCACCTACCCCCACATAGCTCACTGCATCACCTACCCCCACATAGCTCACTGCATCACCTACCCCCACATAGCTCACTGCATCACCTACCCCCACATAGCTCACTGCATCACCTACCCCCACATAGCTCACTGCATCACCTACCCCCACATAGCTCACTGCATCACCTACCCCCACATAGCTCACTGCATCACCTACCCCCACATAGCTCACTGCATCACCTACCCCCACATAGCTCACTGCATCACCTACCCCCACATAGCTCACTGCATCACCTACCCCCACATAGCTCACTGCATCACCTACCCCCACATAGCTCACTGCATCACCTACCCCCACATAGCTCACTGCATCACCTACCCCCACATAGCTCACTGCATCACCTACCCCCACATAGCTCACTGCATCACCTACCCCCACATAGCTCACTGCATCACCTACCCCCACATAGCTCACTGCATCACCTACCCCCACATAGCTCACTGCATCACCTACCCCCACATAGCTCACTGCATCACCTACCCCCACATAGCTCACTGCATCACCTACCCCCACATAGCTCACTGCATCACCTACCCCCACATAGCTCACTGCATCACCTACCCCCACATAGCTCACTGCATCACCTACCCCCACATAGCTCACTGCATCACCTACCCCCACATAGCTCACTGCATCACCTACCCCCACATAGCTCACTGCATCACCTACCCCCACATAGCTCACTGCATCACCTACCCCCACATAGCTCACTGCATCACCTACCCCCACATAGCTCACTGCATCACCTACCCCCACATAGCTCACTGCATCACCTACCCCCACATAGCTCACTGCATCACCTACCCCCACATAGCTCACTGCATCACCTACCCCCACATAGCTCACTGCATCACCTACCCCCACATAGCTCACTGCATCACCTACCCCCACATAGCTCACTGCATCACCTACCCCCACATAGCTCACTGCATCACCTACCCCCACATAGCTCACTGCATCACCTACCCCCACATAGCTCACTGCATCACCTACCCCCACATAGCTCACTGCATCACCTACCCCCACATAGCTCACTGCATCACCTACCCCCACATAGCTCACTGCATCACCTACCCCCACATAGCTCACTGCATCACCTACCCCCACATAGCTCACTGCATCACCTACCCCCACATAGCTCACTGCATCACCTACCCCCACATAGCTCACTGCATCACCTACCCCCACATAGCTCACTGCATCACCTACCCCCACATAGCTCACTGCATCACCTACCCCCACATAGCTCACTGCATCACCTACCCCCACATAGCTCACTGCATCACCTACCCCCACATAGCTCACTGCATCACCTACCCCCACATAGCTCACTGCATCACCTACCCCCACATAGCTCACCGCACTGCCTCCCCCCCCCACGTCAGGGGGCAGGTGAGGCTGTGAATTGCCCTGGTGCGACAGCAGGGAGCGAGTTCCCTGGTGAGGCGGCAGGGAACGTGCTTCCTGGTGAGGTGGCAAGGGTTGTGCGCTTGAGTACGGCGGTGGTGGGTGATAGCTCGTTGCAGCACCAGAGGATGGTGGGTGGTGATAGCTCTGGCGAGGCTGCGGCAGAGGGTGCATGCGGGACGGCCTTGGAGAGGGGATTTGAGAGGGCGAGGGGAGAGGAGAGGGACGGATGACCCGGTGGTGGTGGGGTTGGGGGAAGGAGGGGTTCGAGGAAGCGAGAGGAGGAGGAGGTGGGGGGGGAGGGCGAGGGAAAGGAGCAGGGCCGATTTCCTGCTCTCTCATTCCCCTCATCCATTCGTTATAGTCACCCTCTTCATGCATCCCCCTGCCCATGGGTCTGCCCTCCCGCGTTCTCAACCTTCGCCTCTCCCCCTGCTGCACACTGGAAGGCAGAAAACTCTCCTCATACACGCCTGAAGGGGGAAAAGGAAAGCTCTCCTCATGTTGCAGGCGGGGAGGGGGGAAACGCTCCTGCTGCTGGCGGGAAGGGGGAAAACCCTCGTGCCACCATGATCTAGTAGCAGGAGGGGCATGCTCCCACTGCTCCCACTCCATCTCCTGTCTTGAGTTAGGACCAGCAAACCCCCCCGGTGCGGATGGGTAGGAGGCAGAATGGTGGGGCGTGGGGTGGGGCAAATGGGGCCGCTGGTGCTGCTGCTGCTGCTGCTGCTGTTGGTGGTGCTGGTGGTTCGGGCGGGAATGATGGGGGTTGTGGGAAGAAGCAGGAAAGAGTGGATAGGGGAAGGCAGGAGGAGGAGCAGGGGAGCGGGACGAGGAAGGGGGAGCACCCGAGTGTGCAGCAGCTGCTGCTGCAGCAGCAAGGTAGGGGCACCCAGAAGCATGTGCAAGGGCGGGCGGGTTGGGGGGTCGGGCGGAAGAAGAGGGACGGGAAGGGTCCGAGGGATAAGAAGAGAAGGAAGGTTCAGAGGAATCAGGAGGATAGGAAATTCCTCCCCTTGCTCCTCCTCCTCCACCTCTTCTCTCCACGCCCACGCCTGCACTTGACACATCTCTCCCGTCTCTTCCCTCCCTGCCTCCTCCTGCTCCTCGTCCTCCCTCTCCTCCTTCCGTGTGCCACTCAAAGTGACGACCTGTGATAGAAAGGGCGAAAGGGTAACGATTACTGGTTACTGGCACGCTGTTAGGGCATGTGTTACATCAAGTTGACTTTTGGGGACGATGAGAAGGGGTTAAAGATTAGTGGTTACAGACAGGCACGTGGCTATGGCATGCTATGCTATGCTATGCTGTGGCATCGCATGGTATGGCATGGTATGGTATGGCATGGCATGGAAAATCATGGCATGGCATGCGTACCGAGTGATCATACCAGGTGTCAAACACCATGCATGGCATGCATGGCATGACTCTGCGTTACATGACATGGCATCGCATTCCCACTCACCCTGATCAGGCAGGAAAGGCATTGAGGCCATGGCATGCTGTAGCTGGTAGTGGTTGTAGCGATGGGGATCATTTCGCATGGCATGACACAGGCGTTACATGGCATGCATGGCATGCATGACATGGAACACATGACTCTGTGCTACATAATACGGCACAGCGATTTCGCTCACCCTCATCAGGCAGGGAGCGCATGGAGGCCATGGCATGCTGTGGCTGATAACCCTCTGGTGGATGATAGTAACTGTAAGGATCCGAATCATACCCTGACCTGCCACACAAGAATCAGCCAGTCAGCACAGGCAGGCAGCAAGACTTGGGCACACATTGACGCGATGTTCCAATGGCAAAACGGCAATGGGATGGCAAAGCAGCAATGGGATGGCAAAGCAGCAATGGGATGGCAAAGCAGCAATGGGATGGCAAAGCAGCAATGGGATGGCAAAGCAGCAATGGGATGGCAAAGCAGCAATGGGATGGCAAAGCAGCAATGGGATGGCAAAGCAGCAATGGGATGGCAAAGCAGCAATGGGATGGCAAAGCAGCAATGGGATGGCAAAGCAGCAATGGGATGGCAAAGCAGCAATGGGATGGCAAAGCAGCAATGGGATGGCAAAGCAGCAATGGGATGGCAAAGCAGCAATGGGATGGCAAAGCAGCAATGGGATGGCAAAGCAGCAATGGGATGGCAAAGCAGCAATGGGATGGCAAAGCAGCAAAGGGAAGGCAAAGCAGCAATGGGATGGCAAAGCAGCAATGGGATGGCAAAGCAGCAATGGGATGGCAAAGCAGCAATGGGATGGCAAAGCAGCAATGGGATGGCAAAGCAGCAATGGGATGGCAAAGCAGCAATGGGATGGCAAAGCAGCAATGGGATGGCAAAGCAGCAATGGGATGGCAAAGCAGCAATGGGATGGCAAAGCAGCAATGGGATGGCAAAGCAGCAATGGGATGGCAAAGCAGCAATGGGATGGCAAAGCAGCAATGGGATGGCAAAGCAGCAATGGGATGGCAAAGCAGCAATGGGATGGCAAAGCAGCAAAGGGAAGGCAAAGCAGCAATGGGATGGCAAAGCAGCAATGGGATGGCAAAGCAGCAATGGGATGGCAAAGCAGCAATGGGATGGCAAAGCAGCAATGGGATGGCAAAGCAGCAATGGGATGGCAAAGCAGCAATGGGATGGCAAAGCAGCAATGGGATGGCAAAGCAGCAATGGGATGGCAAAGCAGCAATGGGATGGCAAAGCAGCAATGGGATGGCAAAGCAGCAATGGGATGGCAAAGCAGCAATGGGATGGCAAAGCAGCAATGGGATGGCAAAGCAGCAATGGGATGGCAAAGCAGCAATGGGATGGCAAAGCAGCAATGGGATGGCAAAGCAGCAATGGGATGGCAAAGCAGCAATGGGATGGCAAAGCAGCAATGGGATGGCAAAGCAGCAATGGGATGGCAAAGCAGCAATGGGATGGCAAAGCAGCAATGGGATGGCAAAGCAGCAATGGGATGGCAAAGCAGCAATGGGATGGCAAAGCAGCAATGGGATGGCAAAGCAGCAATGGGATGGCAAAGCAGCAATGGGATGGCAAAGCAGCAATGGGATGGCAAAGCAGCAATGGGATGGCAAAGCAGCAATGGGATGGCAAAGCAGCAATGGGATGGCAAAGCAGCAATGGGATGGCAAAGCAGCAATGGGATGGAAAAGCAGCACTGCGATTATGTTGCAATAGCAAAGCAGCATGGGTGAATGCGGCTGTGTACCAGAATAGTTTTTTGAGAATTCTAAACGAGCAACAAAGGTGAAGGGACCGTGATCAAGGGACTATTGAATGCGGGCTAGTTACCAGACATGCTAAACGAACAACACAGGTGAATGGGCCTAGTTACCAGAAATTCCCGGCCGTGATCAAGGGACTATTGGCGTCTGTGTAGGCACCACGAGAGGCGCGCTCGCCACGGTGGTACATCTGTAGGGGAGGGAGCGGAGGGGGGAGGGAGCGGAGGGGGGAGGGCGCAGAGGGGGGAGGGCACAGAGGGGGGAGGGCGCAGAGGGGGGAGGGTGCAGAGGGGGGAGGGCGCAGAGGGGGGAGGGCGCAGAAGGGGGGAGGGTGGGAAAGAGCCTGTCCATGTATGCAGCACGAGAGGCATGCTCGCCTGGTTGGTACATCTGCAGGGGAGGGAGGGCGCAGGGGGCGTAAGGGGGAGGGCGCAGGGCGCGTAAGGGGGAGAGCGCAGGGCGCGTAAGGGGGAGGGCGCAGGGCGCGTAAGGGGGAGGGCGCAGGGCGCGTAAGGGGGAGGGCGCAGGGCGAGTAAGGGGGAGGGCGCAGGGCGAGTAAGGGGGAGGGCGCAGGGCGCGTAAGGGGGAGGGCGCAGGGCGCGTAAGGGGGAGGGCGCAGGGCGCGTAAGGGGGAGGGCGCAGGAAAGATGCGCTATAGACGTCTGTGTATGCACCACGAGAGGCGTGCTCGCCTGGATGGTAACGCCTATGAGAGATGCACGGACGGGAGCGAAGGGATATAGGAGTCTATGATCGCACCACGAGAGGCATGCTCGCCTAGATGGTACACCTGCAGGGGAGGGCGCGGAGGGGGGAATGGGGAGGGGGGAAGGGGGAGGGCGCGGAAAGGGGGAGGTGGACGAGAAACACCGAGTAAAACACTGAGTGCGCTGTGGGGAAGAGAGAAAGCGAGAGAGAGTGAGGCAGGTGCGACAAGCTGAAGCATGAACCCACGGGCGCAAAGGCAGGTCTACCCCATGCACATGCGCCATCAGCCGCCCTCCAGATCTTATCCAGTCAACCAATGAGTTTCAAACCCCTTATTCCCATGCCCCATGCCCCATGCCCCATGCCCCAACCCCCACGTACGTCAGCATGAACCCACGGGCGCAGAGGCAGGTCAACCCCATGCACATGCGCCATCAGCCCCTCCGGTTCCTCTTGAGACAACCCAAGAGTCCCCCCTGCCCTGTCCCCCCATCCCCCACGCACATCAGCATGAACCCACGGGCGCAGCAGAGGCAGGTCTACCCCATGCACATGCGCCATCGGCCCGCCCTCCAATGCCTCCTCTATAGCATGCTCCGATATAGCATACTCCTCCTCCATAGCACGCTCCGATATAGCCTGCTCCGATATAGCATAGCCATCTTCTGCGTACTCTTCCCCCATAGGTTCTTCCCCTTGCCCCCATCACCACTCCGCCTCTCTCCCCCTCTCCTCCCCCACCTGCACCCACCCCACACCCACTCCCTCCCCTACTTCCCCCCACCCCACCCCTGCTTCCGTCCACCCCGCCTCTTCTCCCCCCCATCCCGCGCCCGCCCTTCCCCGCCACTCCCTGCCAAGTGCACCAGTAAGACCTCCCCCGAAATTTGCATGGAATTCACGAGCAGCAGCGGCAGCAGCAGCAAGATCAGAGAAGGAAGCGGGGAGGGGAGGGGGGGAGGGAGTGGAGGCAGAAGAGGGGAAGGGGAAGAGCCAGTTCCCGTGCTCCTCGCTGTGGCAGTTGGGGCACTGCATGCGGCGCTTGGCGTTGAACGCGGAGCCAATGCAGTCTGGGGGGAAAGGGAGGGGAAAGGGAGGGGAGAAAGGGAGCAGAAGGGGGAAACGAAGGACTGTTGCGGGGCCTCATAAGGGAGTTGGGGCACTGCATGCGGCGCTTGGCGTTGAACGCGGAGCCAATGCAGTCTGGGGGGAAAGGGAGGGGAGAAAGGGAGCAGAAGGGGGAAAAGAAGGACTGTTGCGGGGCCTCATAAGGGAGTTGGGGCACTGCATGCGGCGCTTGGCGTTGAACGCGGAGCCGATGCAGTCTGGAGGGGAGGGGGAGGGGAAGGAGGGGTGAGGAAGAGGGGAAGGAGAGATGGGGAGCATGGGAAGCATGGGGAGCATGGGAAGCATGGGGAGCATGGGAAGCAATGGTGTCAGTGCATACGCCGCTTGGCATTGAAGGCAGAGCCGATGCAGTCTGCGGGAGGGACAGGGGGAGCAGAAACGGGGGAGCGGGGAAACCAGGGGGAAAGAAGGGAACTACTGAGGAGCTACTGCCTCACAAGGCAGTTGGGGCACTGCATGCGGCGCTTGGCGTTGAGCGGGGAGCCGATGCAGTCTGTGGGGGAAGGTGGTGGGAGGGGGGAGAGAAAATAAGGGACGGCAGAAGAAGGGGGAGCAGATGGGGCACTGCATGCGGCGCTTGGCGTTGAGCGGGGAGCCTATGCAGTCTGTGGGGGAAGGTGGTGGGAGGGGGGAGAGAAAATAAGGGACGGCAGAAGAAGGGGGAGCAGTTGGGGCACTGCATGCGGCGCTTGGCGTTGAGCGGGGAGCCTATGGAGTCTGGGGGAGTGAAGGGGGAGAGAGAAGGCGCGCAGAGAAGGGAGAGCAGAGACGGACAGGGGGAGAAGAGCGGAAAAAGAATGCAGCAGAGCAGACAGTTTTGGCAGTTTTGGGGAAGGGGAGAGTGCCGACGGAGCAGAGAGGGGAACACGGGAAGTAAAAGGGGGGGGGGGGGGGGGGGGAGGTAACGGGAACATGGAGATGGATAGGGGGTCCGAGAACAAACTGAGGGAACAACCTGAGGTGACCTTTCCTTTTGGGTACGACTCAAAAGATTGGGAGGCGATGAGGGGTTCCACTCTTTTTTTCTTCTCAAATTAAAAAAAAAAAAAAAAAAAAAAAAAAAAAAAAGAGTCCTATTTGAAAGAGAGCAGCAATCAGCTCACCTAGGTGAAAGCCGTGGCCGCATTTCAGCCGCGCTGTGGACCGTTCGATGGAGCACGCATCAACGGCGTCAAGGCAAATGGAGCACACCTCCGCTTCAATTGAAGATTCCCCCTTCTGCTTCCCCTCCACCTTCCCCTTTCCCTCCGCCTCCCCCTTCCCCTCCCCGGTCCCCTTCACCTTTCCCTTCCCCTTCCCCTTCAACATCCCCCTACTTCCATTCCGGGCTTGATTCGCCGCCGCGCCTCCCTCTTCTCCCTCCGCTCCCTCCGCTCCCCTCGCTCCCTCCGCGCCCTCCCCTCCCTCCGCTTCCCCTTCGGTCTCCTCGTCGCTATCCTCCTCCATCTCTTCGGCTGCCCGTTTCCCTGCCCTACGGTCCTCGACGGCTTCTTCTTTCAATATCCGGCTACCCGGCACACCACGTCCCGGATTCGAGCCGTCCATCAACGCGACGCCGGAGACGCCGTCAGTGACGGCGAGAGGTGCGGAGGAGACGGTGGAGCGGGTTGCGAGAGCGGAGGCCGGCTCGTCCGTTGGTCGCGCTACAGACGGGCGACGCGATGAGTTCGGGGATTCCATGGCCTAGATAGACTCCGTGTCGCGCGGGTAATGACCATGGCCAAACAGCTAACCCTAATCGGCGGACCGTTACATCACGAACCCTAACGACCATTGGCCTGCCTTGAGTTGCTCATCAAAAGTCACGAGGGGTGCCTGACCGTCCATGTGAATTTGGTTGGAATCCCTCGATTTCCGTGCGTTCGTACATCGATGCTGGTTCCTTGCATCTGCTGTGTGTTATACACATGCAAGTTTGCGTGCAAGTTCAGGCATCTCAAAACGAACTGCTGTTTTCTATTTCGGAAATATAGCGCCTTTGGTGCATGATTATAATACATCCTCCTTTTAATTGGATAAAGATCAAATATATATTTTTTACCTTTATTCTTGTAATATTTCAATATTTGTGTTTGAATCATATAAATTAGAGGTAATGTGAATTTAAATTCACATTTAGTATTACATATGATTCTTCGTTTACATGTGAGTACCAAGTTTAAGCTGCACTTGTCCTACTGCTCTCGTAGAAGATGAGTATCAATAAAACGAGTACACGACCTTCGGTGTGACCAATGAAAGCAGGGTGTTGTATCAACTCTCGATCGGCTTCAATCACGGAATGCCGTCAGATACTGCAAGCCTCGCACATCTATCAGCGGCCAGATCAGTTCCTCAGGAACTATCCCACCAATCCAGCAAACATCCAAGCAGCACACCACACCCCACCCCACCTCCATCCCTCGAGTCCGACTAGACGCACTCCTGCCGTGCTCGAAGAATAGTGGGCTGGGGGAACGCAAAGAGCACCCATAAACTGCTCTCTTTCTCTCGCATTCTCTATCTCATAAACAGTTCCGCACATCTGCTTCCACTTCTTCCATTGGGGTTTTTTAAATCAATTGTCAGAAGGCTCAGACCACCACGATTCATCGGCACGAGCATTACATTGAAGGCCTTTTGTCTCACTACGTGATTCACAGCTAAGCAGCCATGTCAGGACGCGGAAAGGGAGGCAAGGGCCTTGGAAAGGGAGGCGCGAAGCGTCACAGGAAGGTTCTTCGCGATAACATCCAGGGCATCACCAAGCCTGCTATCAGGCGTCTCGCTCGTCGCGGTGGCGTCAAGCGTATCAGCGGTCTCATATATGAAGAGACACGTGGCGTGCTGAAGGTTTTCCTCGAGAATGTCATTCGCGACGCTGTGACTTACACGGAGCACGCTAGGAGAAAGACAGTCACAGCCATGGATGTTGTTTACGCCCTGAAGCGCCAGGGTAGGACGCTCTACGGATTTGGCGGTTAGATTTATAAAAATCAGCAACTTAGTTCTTTGCAATGTACCCTGTAACTAAAATAATATAAACATTTTCTGACACTTCCTCCTGTACACGTGTACGGCATGGCCAAGTTAGGTGTTGTCGCTGCTCTGAGCTTGTTGAGTTGAGCTGTCTCCTGTCGTGGCTGTCACTGGTTGTGTCAGCTCAGCAGCACTCTGCAAGGTCATCAAGGTAACAGGCTGGAACCTGTGGTGAGGTCGTACCTTGCAGCTGCAGATCTTGAACTTACAAAATGTCAACACAGCTCAAAGCAGGTGGAAGAATACTTCGTTTTATGCAAGGAGGCAGCAGAGCTCAGTCTTCATTCTGATCCCTCCCTACTCTGAAGTCACCTCGAGTGTAGCCCTTAACCCCATTCAAGAGCCACTATAAGCACCACCGAGATCAGAAGTTAAAAGATTCACACGAGGTAGCGGTAGAGCTTGCGGTCATTGCGGTCGCGCTCCAGAAACTCCCTCTATGAGGCTCTCTATACGCTTCTTGATCACACACATTTAAGAACCACTATACCGTAAAAGCGGCATAGTAGTAAATTCGCTTTAGGCTAGGTAGCGGTATAGCTTGCGGTCGTTGCGGTCACGCTCGAGAAACTCCCTCTCTATGAGGCTCTCTATGCGCTTCTTGATCACCGCCGGGTTGGGCAGGAATCGTGCCTGCAGCTGCTTCGTCACCTCGCTGCACAGTGGAGGCACAGGGGAAATACCGAGGAAACCGGGAAGAGAAGCTGGATTAGAAGACCTCTCTCACTCACTCCCTCTCTATGAGGTTGAGCAGAAAGCGCGCCTGCAGCTGTCTTTTGCAAACTCACTTGAGGGTTTAGGGTTGTTGCGGTGCAACACACACTGTGACTTATGATGTGCTGCGCACTATAACCGCCTCTATCTGCAGATCTCAACCTTGTCAACACTGCCGTACCCTTTATAAGCTCACTTGACAAGGTTGTTGCGGTGCAACACGCACAGTGACTTATGATGCGCTCTGCACTATGACCGCCTCTATCTGCAGCTCTCAACTCTTCCCAGAAGCAGCCCAACACTGCTGTACCCTTCATAAGCTCACCTGACAAGGTTGTTGTGGTCCAGCATGTGTTGTGAACTTCATGATGCGCACGATGGCAGCCTCTATCTGTGGCTTCCTGTCCTCACAAGCTGCCCAACAACCTTGTACCCTTTATAAGCTCACCTGACAAGGTTGTTGTGGTCCAGCATGCGTCGTGACTTCATGATGCGCACTATTGCCGCCTCTATCTGCGGCTTCCTGTCCTCCTCCACCTTCTGCCTCGTCTCCGCCTTCTCTGGCTCTGTCTCCTTCTGGGCGGAAATGGTCCCAGTCTTCACCTGCAGACCGATAGATGGGCGGCAAACGGAAAAAACAGGTTGAGAAACCGAGAGAAGGAGGTCATGCTTCCAAGGTGGTGGCCTCTATCTGCGGCTTCCTGTCCTCCTCCACCTTCTGCCTCGTCTCTGCCTTCTCCGCCGTCTCCTGAGCGGAAATGGTCCCAATCTTCACCTGCATGTTACATAAACCCTATGGCAATATGGAAGCACAGTACAGGTTGAGGCACAAGGAAGGGAAACACGATGGCAGCCTCTATCTGCGGTTTCCTGTCCTCCTCCACCTTCTGCCTCGTCTCTGCCTTCTCCGGCCCCGTTTCCTTCTGAGCGGAAATGGTCCCGATCTTCACCTGCAGGTCGATAGGTGGACGGCAAAAGGGAGCAGATTGAGGCACAGGAAAAGGAAGCATGACTCTGCCTTCTCCGGCTCAGAAGACCGGGACCATATCGGCTCTGTCTCCTGCGCTGATATGGCCCCCATCTTCACCTGCACGTTGGCAGGATCCAGAAAGAAATAGGAGAGACATGGACGGAGGATTGGCATGGAGATGGATCGAGATGGACATGCGGGTTGAGGCGCCTAGCGCTGCGCCCCCACCTCCTCCGACTCCGTCTCGTTCTGCGCCCAGATATTCCCAATCTTCACCCGCACGTTGACACAATTCAGGAGCGAAGAAGAGGAGCAGGGGGGGTGCAGATGAAATTACATGGTGCACAAGATGTATGGCTCTATCCACGTCTCTGTTTTCTCCGGATCCCTCTGCTTTGACGCCGAGCTCGTTTTTACCTTCACCCGCCCTCTCCCCAAACAGAATCTTCCTCCCCTCCCTCTCCACCCCCCCTGCCCTCGCACCTTGAAGAACCTGGAGGTGAACTAGTGGTTGAAGTGGAAAGTATCGTCATCCCCTACCTCCAAGCTCACAAACTCCCCCATTCCCCTCTCACCGAATAGAGCATGCTCCCTCTCCCCTTCACTCATACTTCCTCTAACCTTAGGATGCCTCCTAGCACGCCCTCTCACCTTGAAGAGCTTGGAGGTGAACTTGTGGTTGAAGTGGAAGGTGTCGTCATTGTCCTCCTCCTTCCCCACCGGTTCCTTCCTCAGCACGTTCTTGCCTCGCACCCCTCCACCCATCCAGCCATCCACCCAATACCCCACTCCGTACCTTGAGGAACTTGGAGGTGAACTTGTGGTTGAAGTGGAAAGCATCATTGCCCCCAACCTCCTTGCCTACGGGCTCACCCATTCCCCCCCACACATACTGTAACCGTGCACCCATCCCCCCCCCCCCTCTTCTCACCTTGAAGAACTTGGAGGTGAATTTGTGGTTGAAGTGAAACATATCGTCATCCCCCACCTCCTTCCCCACGGGCTCCTTCCTCAGCACGTTCTTGCCTCGCACCAGCGACAGCGACTGCAGGTTGCGGCGCAGGTCGGCTGATGGGATGTCTGTCGCTGCTTCTATGTCTCGGTAGGTGAGGGATTCGTGTGTGTTGAAAAGCATCAGGATGCACATCTGGGAGAGGGGAGGGAGGGAGACAGAGGGTGCAGATTCGACCTCAGGCTAGCTGTTGAAATGTCGGTGGCTGCCTTGATGTCGCGGTAGGTGAGGTCGTCGATTGTGTTGAACATCATCAGGATGCACATCTGGTGGGAAAGGAGCAGGGATGAAGAGGGAGAGCGAGGGGGGAAAAACGAGTGCAAGTTGTGATGAAGGTCACCGTCCTGGTAGGTGGACATATTAGGGCAGAGGCACGACAGTGAGAAAACCTAATCAACCATCACCCACCTGGTAGGTCGACACAGACAGCTCGTATTTCCGCGACTCAAACGTGGCCTTCACGTCCAAGTGGCTAGCAGGTTTTAACAACTCAGCGAAAAACCCAAAACCCCCCATCGCGTATGCCCAAACCAACCCACCTGGTACGTGGACATGGACAGCTCGTATTTCCGCAACTCAAACGAGGTAAGTCGCGCACCCACCTGGCAGGTCATAGTAAGTCAACGGAAAACCCAAAAAGCACCCAGTATGCCCCACCCACCTGGTACGTGGACACGGACAGCTCGTATTTGCGCGACTCAAACGTGGCCTTCACGTCCGCATGCCCCATGTTCATCTGCCACGTCAGCCGCCGCCCGGTGTGCGTCGTCAGGTAGTGCCTTGTGAACTTCTCGCATATGGGGAGGATTTCCCCGGGGAGGTTGCATCTGGCGCCCGCCTGTGTGGGCCAAGACCCCGTAGTTAACACCTGCACCGAAAGAGTCGGCCCTTGGAATAATCCAACCGCTGCCGCCCCTCCTGCGGCTGATGACGATGACGAGCCGGCTCCCGAGCCTGCTGCCGTGCCGGATGGTCCGGCGAGGGCAAGATCTGGTTCGGCACGGAGTGCTGCTGCAGCAGCTGCTGCTGCTCCTCCGCGTGCCGACCCTTCCCCTTCCTCCTCCCCGCCCTCATCCCCTCCTTCCTCCCGCAAAGCCCCCCCAGCAGCCGCGGCACCACCCCCAGCAGCAGCCCCAGCAGCCCCAGCAGCAGCAGCAACCCCACTAGCTGGATCCTCCACCTCTCCCTCCCCGCCCCCCCTCTCTTCCCCGACTCCCCCTCCTCCCGCCGCCGCCGCCGCTGCCGCTGCTTCAGCCTGTAACGCGCAGTGAAACGCGTGCATTGTATCCTGGGACGTCTTCATATCAAGGAACATACCCTCGAGTTTCGACGTGAACTGATACCCACACTCAGTCTTAAGCTTCACGATAAAGCTCCGCTCCGCATCGTCCGAAACCGTCTTCCCCGACAGCAGGCGCTTAGCTAAGTGCTGCTTATAATACTTCTCAAAAACGTCCTTCTCCTGCAGGAACCGGAACAGCGTCATTACTTTATCCAGTACTGCCTCTGCCTCCTCCTCGCTCGCCCCCTTGAGCCCCTTGCGCAGCTTGTCGTCTATGAAGAGAGAAATGTACTCGGCAGCGCGCGCATTGAGGTTGAGGAAGAACTCAAAGGCCGTGCTGAGGGCCGTCTGAAAGGTCTTGTCTGAGGCGAACGAGGCGGCGATTATGCGGTCGTACTTGTCTTTTTCCTCTAGCAGGCGTTGAACAAACTCGACTGGGTCCTTGCACCTGCAGGAGGGGGGGACGGACTTGAGGCAAGAAGCGCGCTGAGGTTGAACGAAGGACTCAAAGGCCGTGCTGAGGGTTGTGTGGAAGGCCTTGTCTGAGGCGAATGAGGCGGCGATGATTCGGTCATATTTATCCTTTCCCTCTGGGAGCCTCTGTACGAGCTCCACTGGGTCCTTGCACCTGCATGAGGGGGGGAGAGGGGGAGTGGGTCGGGGAGGACATGTGGTCGCAAGAAGGGCGTTGGCGTTGAAAAAGAACTCGAAGGCGGTGCTGAGGGTGGTGTGGAAGGCTTTGTCTGAGGCGAATGAGGCGGCTATGATTCGATATCGTACTTGTCTTTCTCCTCTAGCAGCCGCTGCACGAACTCCACTGGGTCCTTGTGTGATGAGTCGATTTTTTAGTCGACTAAAAAATCGACTCACCACTGGGTCCTTGCAATTGGGCAAGGGGGTAGGGAGGGGAGGGAGGGGGTTGGAGAGGAGTGGAGTGGTACAGAGGGAGGCGAATGAGACAGCGATGATGCGATCGTACTTGTCCTTCTCCTTCAAAAGCCGCTGCACAAACTCCACTGGGTCCGTCCTTTCACCTGGTAGGAGGGGGGGCGGGGGGAGTGGGGAAGGCGGGAACGAATGAAAAGGAGTGAAAAGGAGCGGCCGCGAGTGCGGAGGGAGGAGTGGTAGAGAGAGAGCGGCGGAGATGCGGCCGCAAGAAGCGTGTTGAGGTTGAGAAAGAACTCAAAGGTTGAGCGTGTTGTGATGAGCGCTTCGTCTCCCCACCCATCCCCACCCATCCCCACCCCCATTCCTCCTACCATGCCTGTCCGGGTTAGTGACCGATCTCCCTGAGATGCCCGTACATCACCTCCCTCATCGTTTGCAAACACAACCACACCCACAATCTCCCCAGCCTCACCCCATCTCCACCCCCCACTGTCATACCTGTCCGGGTCAGTGACCAGCTGCCTGCTCGTCTCCCTCAGGTGCCCCGACATCACCTCCCTCACCGCACACAGCTGCGCACACCCCCACGCTCCCACTCACACGCTCCTCCAAGGTGCGTTGATGACACAACCACCACCATACCTGTCCGGGTCAGTCACGAGCTGTCGGCCCGTCTCCCTCAGATGCCCTGACATCACCACTCTCATCCCGCACACACACATAGACACCCACTTACACCTATCCCTCCCCCTCCCCACCGCACCTGTCCGGATCAGTGTCCAGCTGCCTGCCCGTCTCCCTGAGATGCCCCGACATGACATCCCTCATCGTCTGCACACACAAGCACACAGCACTTACACCCATTCACACCCAACCCCACCCCCCACCCTCCACCATACCTGTCTGGGTCGGTCACAAGCTGCCGGCCCGTCTCTCTGAGATGCCCCGACATCACCTCCCGCATCGTCTGCAGCCCCTGTGGCACGCGCTTCAACAGGCGGTACATGCGCGCTATGTCCTGCGGGAGGGGGGAGGGGGCAACAAAAGAAGGGGTAATGCCCCAGCGAGAGTGGTGAGGAGGAAGGGTGTTACGCCTGCCACCCCCAGCATTGCCTGCAGCCCTGCCGGCACGCGCTTCAATCAACAGGCGGTACATGCGCGCTATGTCCTGAGAGGGGGGGGCACGAGGGGACAGGGAGGACGGAATGGAGGGAGAGGGAGCAGGGAAGGAGGCGGTACATGCGCGCTATGTCCTCTGTGCGCGCATCCAGGTACTGCGCCACGCGCTCCCCCTCCTCCCTCCTCGTTCCCCCCACCCACCAGGTCGTACCAACCACTGCCAGACGCAGAGAAAAGGGCGGAAGGAGGGAGGAGGGGAGGGAGGGAGGGAAGCAACCCTTTCTCACCTCGCACTTGTCGTTCACGAGCATCAGCAACCTCAAATGATTGCCCACCATCTCGCGCTCCACCACGCCCGCCACCTTCCCCTCTGGGAGGAAAGATCGCGGACACCTCTCACCTCATACTTGTCGTTCACGAGCATTGGCACCAAGCCGGAGTTCTCCATATCCACCAGCAACCTGAGGTGGTTCCCCACCATCTCGCGCTCCACCACGCCAGTCACCTTCCCCTCTGTGCGCGCATCCAGGTACTGTGCCTTTGAGGGGCCGTGCGCATCCATAAGTGCTTCCAGCGATCCCCTCTCACCTCGTACTTGTCGTTCACGAGCATGGGCACGAGCCCGGAGTTCTCCATATCAACGAGCAACCTGAGGTGGTTCCCCACCATCTCGCGCTCCACCACGCCAGTCACCTTCCCCTCTGTGCGCTCACCTAGGTACTGCGCCGCGCGCTCCCCCTCCTCCTCTCCTCCCCCCCCCCATGTGGACAGTGCAGCATACCAACCACCACCACAGAAAGACCAGGAAGGAGGGAGAAAGAAAGCAACCCTTTCTCACCTCATACTTGTCGTTCACGAGCATGGGAACGAGCCCAGAGTTCTCCATGTCCACAAGCAACCTCAAATGGTTTCCCACCATCTCGCGCTCCACCACGCCAGTCACCTTCCCCTCCGTGCGCGCATCCAGGTACTGCGCCACGCGCTCCCCCTCCTCCTTCCCCCGACCCGTCCCCATGTGCACCAGGAAGGAAGGAGGGAAGGAGGGAGGGAGGGTGGGGAAAAACAACCCCTCTCACGCACCTCGTACTTATCGTTGACCAACATCGGCACGAGCCCCGAGTTCTCCATATCAACGAGCAACCTGAGGTGGTTCCCCACCATCTCGCGCTCCACCACGCCAGTCACCTTCCCCTCCGTGCGCGCATCCAGGTACTGCGCCACGCGCTCTCCCTCCTCCTCCAACCTCCTCTCCGCCACATTGAGATAATCCGCGCAATCACACGTCGCCAGGTGGCGCTGCGCCTCGCCGCAGTAAAACGCCGCCGACGCCTCCAGAAACGGACGCTCCAGATCTTCCGAGTACACCGCCGGGCCGAGATCGGCGAACATGGACGATATGGATCGCATGAGCGCGCGGTTAATCACTTCCCCCGAGCGCTCTTGGTGGACGAGGGAGAGGATGGTGGAGAGGAGGCGCGGGCGGATGGCGGGGGCGCGGACGATGTGGTCATGCCAGAGGGCGAGGCCGAGGTCGTGGACAGGTGTCTTGTTGTGATTGGTCACGTAGGTTCGGTCCATGTACATTAGAATGTCTCGAATCATCTGGAGGGACTTGCCGTAATCGTGCCACCTGCAAGGGAGGAGGAGGGACAGGAGAAGAGAGGCGACAGGGGAGGATCTTGTTGTGATTGGTCACGTAGGTTCGGTCCATGTACATTAGAATGTCTCGAATCATCTGGAGGGACTTGCCGTAGTCGTGCCACCTGGGGGTGAGGAGAGAGGGGGAAAAAAGAGAAGTGAGAGGATATGGCAGCATTGGCAGCACTGGTCACGTAGGTTTGGTCCATGTACATTAGAATGTCTTGAATCATCTGGAGGGACTTGCCGTAGTCGTGCCACCAGGGCTGGAGAAAGAGGAAGGGTGGGGGGTGGTGGAGAAGAAGAGGGGAGAAGGGGAGGGGGAGAGTAAGCATTGCATTGGTCACGTGCGTTCGGGCCGTGCACAGGAGGAGGGATTTGCCATAGTCGGGCCACCTGGTCGTGAAGGGGGGGAGAAAGGCGGGCCGGAAAGGGGTGGGCGGGAAAGGGGTGGGCGGGAAAGGGGTGGGCGGGAAAGGGGTGGGCGGGAAAGGGGTGGGCGGGAAAGGGGTGGGCGGGAAAGGGGTGGGCGGGAAAGGGGTGGGCGGGAAAGGGGTGGGCCGGAAAGTGGTGGGCGGGAAAGGGGTGGGCGGGAAAGGGGTGGGTGGGAAAGGGGTGGGCGGGAAAGGGGTGGGCGGGAAAGGGGTGGGCCGGAAAGGGGTGGGCGGGAAAGGGGTGGGCGGGAAAGGGGTGGGCGGGAAAGGGGTGGGTGGGAAAGGGGTGGGTGGGAAAGGGGTGGGCGTGGGTTTGAGAACATGCAGCAGCCTACTCTACATCCCAGCCTCCCGTGGCACAACCCCTTACCTAGCGTCACACCCTCGTTGAGAAAACTTTTGAGTCGACTCAAAAGTCAACTCGGCACCACCCCTTACCTAGCGTCACACCCTCACACCCACCTGGCATGGAGCTCGTTGAGAAACAGCGGCCCATGCGCCGCCTCTATGGAAGCAACCACGCTCTTGAGATGGTCATGGTGCTCACCAGCCCCACAAAGAGGCGACCCTACCTCAGTGCCTGCTCCGTGTCACCACCCCTCACCTGGCGTCTTAACCACACACCCACCTGGCATCAAGTTCGTTGAGAAACAGCGGCCCGTGCGCGGCCTCTATAGCCGCCGCCACGCCCTTGAGATGGTTTGTCATGGTGCTCAGCTCACCAGCGGCGCGTACAGGCGAGCCTACCCCACCCCTTACCTGGCGCCTCAGCCAAAATGCCTACCTCAAACCACCCACCTGGCGTCCAAGTCATTCAGAAACAGCAGCCCGTGTGCCGCCTCTATAGCCGCCGCCACGCCCTTGAGGTGGTTCGTCATGGTGCTCACCAGCCCCGCGTACAGGCGAGCCTACCCCACCCATTACCTGGCGCCTCAGCCAAAATGCCTACCTCGAACCACCCACCTGGCGTCCAGCTCGTTCAGAAACAGCGGCCCGTGTGCGGCCTCTATAGCCGCCGCCACGCCCTTGAGATGGTTTGTCATGGTGCTCAGCTCACCAGCGGCGCGTACAGGCGAGCCTACCCCACCCCTTACCTGGAGCCTCAGCCAAAATGCCTACCTCGAACCACCCACCTGGCGTCCAGCTCGTTCAGAAAGAGAGGCCCGTGTGCGGCCTCTATAGCCGCCGCCACGCCCTTGAGGTGGTTCGTCATGGTGCTCACCAGCCCCGCATACAGGCAAGCCTACCCCATCTACCTCATTCTCTCTCCCTCCTCACCTGGCATCAATCTCGTTCAGAAAGAGAGGCCCGTGTGCCGCCTCTATAGCCGCCGCCACGCCCTTGAGGTGGTTCGTCATGGTGCTCACCAGCCCCGCGTACAGGCAAGCCTACCCCATCTACCTCATTCTCTCTCCCTCCTCACCTGGCATCAAGCTCGTTCAGAAAGAGAGGCCCGTGTGCCGCCTCTATAGCCGCCGCCACGCCCTTGAGGTGGTTCGTCATGGTGCTCACCAGCCCCGCGTACAGGCGGTCGCCGTACTTATGGAGTACCATGTTGTACGCGTTGCTGTGAATGAGAGGGCGGAGGGGGACACGCGGTGAAGGCACAGGGGGGAAAGCACAGGGAGAGACAAGGGAAAGACACATGTAGCGTGGGGTGGGGACGGGCCCTGCGAACAGCGGTAGCCGTACTTATGGAGTACCATGTTGTACGTGTTGCTGCGCTGTGACGGGAGGAGGGGGGGGGAGGGGATGGGATGGGATGAAAGGGGGGATTAAGGGAAGAATGACAAGAAAGACACATGAAGAGTGGTGACCAGCTCCGCATAGAGGCGGTTGCCGTACTTGTGCAACACCATGCTGTACGCGTTGCTGTGATGGGAGGGGGGGAGGGGACGAGGGGAAAGACGCTCTTAGCGCGCCTACTAGCCACGCGTAGAGGCAGTCGCCGTGCTCATGCCGGTAGAGCTCTTGGAACGGCGAAACTGAGGTCAACGTGCCTTTAGAGCTCTTGGAACGGCGAAACTGAGGCCAACGTGCCTTTAGAGCTCTTGGAAGGGCGGATTTGCAGAAGCGAAGAGACAGCGACGCAGGGCGGAAGGAGGCGCGTACCAATAGAGCTATTGGAAGCGGAGGCCGGAGGCGCTGTGATTGTAGATGCTGTGGACCTAGAGAAGGCCGCACGCCGAGGGAGGGAGCAAGGGAGGGAGCAAGGGAGGGACGGAGGGCATACCGATAGACCTCGTGGCAGCCGAGGCCGCACGCACGTACCGGTAGAGCTCCTCGAAGCTGAGGCCCGAGGCGTTGTGGTTGTAGATCTGGTGGATGGCGTCCTCGAGAATGCCCCACGTCTTCTCCGCGTATCGCGGGTCCATCTCCACCTTGTGCCGAAACGGCTCGATGTGGAACGCAGACTTGCGACGCGGCTGATTCATGGCGGGCGACTCGGGGAAGAGGTAGGACGAAGGTGGGGGGTTGGCGGAGGTGATAACGATGCGGTTGAGAACGGTGAGGATATCAATTTCCGGTGTATCCGCGAGGAGGGTGCTTGTTTGAGCCGAACCAGGGAGGCGAAGACTGCGGTTCTCCGCACGACAGAGTATCTCGCACTTATTATCTCGACAAGCACACGAATTTCAGTTATGCGTGGATAAAAGTGGACTATGCTGATGTAGCGCTGCGCTACGCTCTTGCCAGTGACGGCAGCAGAAAAACACTACGACTCCAAAATCCTTCTTATTTCGTTCCTACGCGCCTACAGCACGGGTAGCGCTTGGTGGAAAGCAGCTATAACGAAATAAAAATCCTAGCTAGATTCGAACAGCCGTCAACCTGCTTTCATGGGTGCAGTTTTCACTCTGCTTGCGTTACCCCTTGCGGATGCGCGGCGGTTACGATAAGGAAAGGGAATAGCAATAACAAAAAGGCCAGAACTCGATAAGTGCGTGCCCTGATGCTGAGATTAGTGGCACACGGTATGTGAAGCATACGCCATAACTGACAGGTACACACAAGACAATGCGTGATTGATGTGCTTCAAGGGAGTATCGTTGATAGATAGAAACGGTTGAACACGATGCTGTGCAATTTGGAGAGTTTCTTAATTTTCACCGCCTTGAAACGCTAATTACCTGCCCGAACTTCGATGCATGACCTGTAAACAAGCTCTCATGATGGCCCCTGATGTGAAGGGTTTGTTCGCTTCAGGGGTTACTTGGAGTTTTAGTGCGGTAGAAGATCGATCCTCCTCGATATTGCCGATCGATCGAGGGAGGTGACGCGTCCTGAGGGAGGCTTGATGTTGCTCAAAGCGCTGGATGCAGTGACGAGGATGTGGTGAACGCTCTCATTCTACAGTGAATGTTGGAGTCGAATGTGTTAGAGAATCTTAAAACCTTATAGCATCTTCTAAACCAGCAAACCAGAAGACTTGGATGTCTAAAACCAGCATAATATTTTCAACGCATGGAGCCAAAAATATAATGTTCGCACAAATAAGCAATGTCATGTTAAACTATCTACATCCAACGTTTAACCCAGAAATTATATTTTGCCACTGCATCCTTGTAATTTCATAAACCTGATTTTCTGAATCGCTGTTTGCTGTTTTCATAAATTGTGGAACTGGTAGCTTGTGAACATGGTTTATGATATTGAGAAGGGAGGGTCAAATAGTGATTCACAGGAACACGTAAGAAGGTTGCTCATAGGCGAGCACATTGGGCTGATGGAGCAACGCCCTCCAGAACCAAACCCGACACTGACACACTTCTTTTCCAGGTGGCACGTTCCTTGTGGACAGAAGTTGTCTTTCTCGTGTGAGTGAGAGCAGCGGAACGTGGGAACTACCACTAAGATGCCAGAAAATGTTTCGTGTTGAATTGGGGGTCAATGTCTCGCATTATACTAGCACTGTAAGCACCCAAATCCATGTCATCCTTCGGAAGCATGCGGACAAGCGTTGCTAAAAATAGGGAAATATCAACCGCAAATGAATACAGTATTACGGTCACCTGTGTGGAAACAAGCGCGAAATCTGCGGGTTCAGGGCACGCGCTGAGCCCCAACTCTCCGCGTCGCAGTCACGACTCCTCATATCCATGCTGGCACAACGTCAGAGCGAGAAAGCACCAGGAAAGCACGGTTGGAGGTTACCAGAGTGTGCTGAACGGTACAGGATGATGCTTTCCTGATAATGCAATGGTGGAGATCATACCTCGGCGAATATCCCATACCCCTCCGATGCCCGAAACTTCTGCCCAATGAAAAATGTTTTGCTGAATCGCTTTTTCCCGAGCGTCGTCCCAGATCCATGCATCATCCAGCACGGATAATAGCGATTCCTGACACGCCACGTTGGACAAAGCTCACCGCCAACTGCCCTCAGTCACTTGAGCAACCACTCACACAATGTGGGAAGCGCGAACTACCCAAAAACACTTTCCCGCACCAAACCTGCCGTGGTGGGGTGGGGTCCGACCGACCGCTTCCATCGGAAACTCCCCGCATGAAACAAATCAGAGTGAAGGCGGAGCGGAACGCATCTCTTCCCCATGCCACCTCCCGCAAGCCTGCCTGGGCTGACCGTACTCTCCGCGCAATCGCAAGAAGGGGATGGGGGAAGGGGGAGGGAGGAGAAATGCGGTGATGATCGGCTACCCGCAAAGCTCTGTTGCGCGCGCTCATGGGACCTGCTGCTGACTGACTGGGCACACTCCTTTCTGCTTGGGAGCACTAGTCATCCGACTCACACGACCCTAGAAAGCAGGAGCCAGTTAGGTTAGGAATAGAAGTTTAATCAGCTTGACAGCAGGGTTTCTGTAGGTGGTTCCTGAATCCTGAAGTATGTAGGAGGCTGCCTGCCTTCAGTCTGCTGGAGTTACGTGGGTGCGTTATGCTTCGGGGGTAGCTGCATGCGTCCTACTAATTCAGCGGTTTATTATATTTGCGCAAGCATTTTTGCGGCTTTCTTTAATCACGTGACCCCCTCACTTTTAAAGCTTTATATTGAAGTTTATACATTCTGGCCTTTGCCTGTAACTCAGCGCGCTGTCACTGTCGTTTACCTTAGTATTGATGTACTTTATTCTTACAAGTAAGGGATTTGAAGTACCAGTTTTTATTACTTTCACGTCAGATACCACTCCCGTTTAAAGGCTTAATGAGTAACGGTCCTATCCTCGCCGGATCTCCCAATAAGAGCTGCTCCCACGACTCCCGGGCCAGCGACGGCGTTGGCGCTGATGTGAGCAGCAGGAGCAGCAGTTCCAGCGCCTCTCCTGCCGTCAAATCCGCCATTTCTCCAGCGAGCGCGTCGCCATCTTCTTCGTTCTTTGACATCGCACCACCTGCTACCCGTTCTGACACGCCACCACCTTCCCGCTCTTTCTTAAGCTTGCTGCCTTTTGCTTCCCTTAGTTCCAAGCGCCAGCAGCAGCAGCAGCCGTCGTCTCGTGCTGGCGTGTCCGCAGTGGGAGGCTCGCTGCTTGAGTTGCTCGACGAAGGATGGTTCTCCAGCAATGTCGCCGCTTGGCCCCATGATTCCGATTTAACCACAATCCAGGAAGCGGTTAACGAGACAGAGGATGCTGATAACGGGGATGCGCTTCCAGGGGTCCCGGAAACGGGGAGGGTTGCGTGTGCGCACGTGGATTTAATCGCTCCGAGCTTCGCAAGCAACTTCCGCGAAGGCGCAGGTGGTGCTGCAGCGGAGTGTGCTTGCACGGCGGCTGATGACCGAACCAGCGGGGGTGCTTCGGCTGTGTCCGAACCGAGCGGTTGTTCCAGGTCTGGCAGTCCCGAGCCGGACCCTGAAGGCAGCTTCGGAAAGTACCGACGCCGCCGCGGCCGGTCGGGAAGCAGGCGGCGACCGAAGCGCAGCAGCAGCCTCGACGCGGCGCGCATGTCAAGACGCGTGACGATGCTTCCGCATCCCCCGCTTCCGGCGGACGAGGAGCAGCGAGATCATATAGAGACGCGAAGCAGCGACGGAGATTGTTACGAGCGCACTACCTCCCCTTACGCTTCGTCCGGGCGAGGGACGTACGCGGAAAGGCGGGGAAGCGCTGGAGAACATTTCTCCGCGTTTCACCCATCTCCCCCTTTCCGATGGTCCGCGGGAGGTACGGGGACGGCGGAAGCGGAGAATGGAGCGGGTGGGGGGAGTTGCGGAAGCAGAAGCGCGGGGAAACCGCGGTATTTGCGCACGCGGAGTGTGTCGGATTATGACTCGGCGGAGTACGAGCGCAACAGCTCGATGCGGCAAGGCGCATATGAGGTGGACGCGGATGCGGGGGGGGAGACGGGCTCCCCCTGACGCCTTCCGCGCGTGCAAGAAGCCTGACAGGTTAGCAGTGGGATTAATTGAAGTGGATGTGATGTGATTCCAAGATAGGGATTGCAAGCAGTGGATTTGCGAATGTCCCCGTTTCCTGCTCTGCTGCTCGGTTCAAACCCTAACTGGAAAGGAGAGGACTCATAGTCCTCGCCGCGTTTCCCTTCCCCTTTAACTTAACTCACTCAACCCGTGAAATTCATCCACCTTTTCCTGATCCTTCCCGCTTCTACGCCTTTCAAATTTTAATGTTATTTCTTCCCCTTGCCACGTGTACCCTGAGCAGAGGCTGACGTGGAGGAACTCCGGGGCTTCATGGATCTGGGCTTTAACTTCCGCCAGGCGGACATGAGCGCGCGCATGACCGCCACCCTCCCCGCGCTGCGCCTGTACCAGGCCGTGGGGAGCGTGCAGCAGAGACTCATCTCCCGCCACCATCATCACGCCGCTCCCGCTACAGCCGCTGCCGCTACAGATGATGTTCATGGCACCGCTGGTGGTGCCGCTGGCGGTGCTACTGGCGGTCCTGCTGGTGGTGGTGCGGACGGCAGTGCGGCAGTGGGAGTTGGCAGCGGCACCCTCGTCGCCACGGATCTTGTGTTTCCAGGGGGACCCGTTCGTTGTTGCCCGCTCATCTGAACCCCACGCCATGGTATGGCCACTTGCCTGAATGGCTCACGCCTCGCATTCAGCTGCTGCGAATCTCATGGGCTGTCGCTTAATTTGCCTGGTGTTGTTCCTGAATTTAACTGACTAACCATCCCCACCTGACCGCCCCCCTTGTCCTCCCCCTTCCCTCTGTTTCCCCCCCATTCTTCAACGGAAGCAGCAGCGAGGTAGCTCCATGCCATCCTCGCCACGCCACATCCCATCTCTCATCAGCACCACCACCACCACCACCAGCATGACCAGGAGTCATAGCCATGGGCATAGTCCAGAGCATGAGCAGGGGCAAGGGCAGAGGGGGGTGAGTGGCAGCCTGGACGCAGAGTGGTCGTTTGCCAACCTGCAGGACCCCCCCTCAGACGTCAAGACACACCTGAGGCTCTGGGCTCAGGCCGTTGCCAGCACTGTCAGACAGACGTGCTAGCTGCCGTGCTGTGCTGCAATTGCCGCTGTGCTGTTGTGCCGTTGCTGCTGTGCTGTGCTGTCATGGCCACTGTGCTTCTGCCATGACTGTTCCTGGCACTGCCTGTCTGGCATCTAGTCTGTCTTGGTTAATTGATGGCTAATGCCTCGCTGGTGCAAACACACATGGGTACTAACATGAAGTTCGTGAAGTTGAGGGCTTTGGCTGGCACGCTGTGCAGTGCTTGAATTCATCACCGTTTAAAGCCCGGGTACAGCATGGTTATTTTCAATTTCAAGATTCTTGAATTTGAGATCGTCAAAAACAGGGTTACCCTACTTTTTGCTCTGAACTCTCGCGACTCTGGGACAACGCCTAGCGACACTCTCTCCTAATTGGCTGATGTGCACGATCGCAAAACAGAACCGGGGGTCGCTCAGGTTGGCCCGCTGTTTGGCTCACACATATCTTGATCGCCTAGTAGTACTCATGACCAACCTAGGCTCTCACGTAAGTAGAAAGCGAGTGCGTCATCATCTTGTACCACGTGACCGCGATTTTTACGGCAACTCTCGTTACTCATGCTGTCTCGTCAATAGCTAGGCAGCACAAGCCTACAGTCGCTTTAGATATTTACAAACGTTAGCGCCAAACTCACACGAAACGTATAATCCAAACGAGTGCGACACCATTCTACCCCACGTCTAGCGCGAGTCGTCACCCGCGCTCCCCCTCGCCAGTCGCGCTCCTCCTCGTCACTAGCGCCCGCCCTCGTCACTAGCGCCCGCCCTCGTCACTCGCGCCCGCCCTCGTCACACGCGCCCGCCCTCGTCACTCGCGCCCGCCCTCGTCACTAGCGCCCGCCCTCGTCACTCGCGCCCGCCCTCGTCACACGCGCCCGCCCTCGTCACACGCGCCTGCCCGGGATAGAACCCTTCCCTCGTCATGCGTTTCCATTCGTCACCCGCGTTTCCTTTCGTCACCCGCGTTTCCCTTCGTCACGCGCGCATCCCTTCGTCACGCGCGGTCACGCGCGTTTCCCCACGTCACACGCGTCTCCCCTCGTCCCGCGCGTTTCCCCTCGTCTCGCGCGTATCGCTTCGTCGCGCACATTTCCGCCACTCGCGCACGCGTCTTCCCGTCACGCGCGCTTCCCCTCGTTGCGCGCTCTCCTCCCCTCGTCACGCGCGTTTCCCCTCGCCTAGGGCCGAGTGGGAAAGATAGAAGGGGGAGGATGGAGGGGGAGGAACAGAGGGGGGAGGGCAGAGAGCAGAAGACGAAAGGTCATTGCGGGTTCATCCCTCACTCCCTCTCCCCATCGACCTCACTTTTCCCGGAGTGTTTACACGCCTCTTAATTGACCGACCTCCCTTTCTCCCACCAGCTCTGTTTACGCATTCCCTTATCCTCTGCCTCACCTGCATCCCCCCTCCCTTCGCCCTGCTTCCCCCCTCCCTCCACCCTGCTTCCCCCCTCCCTCCTCCCTGCTTCCCCCCTCCCTCCACCCTGCTTCCACACTCCCTCCGCCCTGCTTCCCCCCTCCCTTCGCCCTGCTTCCCCCCTCCCTCCTCCCTGCTTCCCCCCTCCCTCCTCCCTGTTTCCCCCCTCCTTCGCCCTGCTTCCCCCCTCCTTCCTCCCTGCTTCCCCCCTCCCTCCTCCCTGCTTCCCCCCTCCCTCCTCCCTGCTTCCCCCCTCCCTCCGCCAAGCTTCCCCCCCCCTATGCCCTGCTTCCCCCCTCCCTCCGCCAGGCTTCCCCCCTCCCTCCGCCAGGCTTCCCCCCTCCTCCTGCCCTGCTTCCCCCCTCCCTCTGCCCTGCTTCCCCCCTCCCTTTGCCCTGCTTCCCCCCTCCCTCTGCCCTGCTTCCCCCCTCCCTTCGCCCTGCTTCCCCCCTCCCTCCTCCCTGCTTCCCCCCTCCCCCTCCCTGCTTCCCCCCTCCCTCCGCCAAGCTTCCCCCCTCCCTATGCCTGCTTCCCCCCTCCCTCCGCCAAGCTTCCCCCCTCCCTTCGCCCTGCTTCCCCCCTCCCTCCGCCAGGCTTCCCCCCTACTCCTGCCCTGCTTCCCCCCTCCCTCTGCCCTGCTTCCCCCCTCCCTTTGCCCTGCTTCCCCCCTCCCTTCGCCCTGCTTCCCCCCTCCTTCCTCCCTGCTTCCCCCCTCCCTCCTCCCTGCTTCCCCCCTCCCACCGCCCTGCTTCCCCCCTCCCCCGCCCTGCTTCCCCCCTCCCTCTGCCCTGCTTCCCCCTCCCTCCGCCCTGCTTCCCCCCTCCCTCCGCCCTGCTTCCCCCCTCCCTCCTCCCTGCTTCCCCCCTCCCTTCGCCCTGCTTCCCCCCTCCCTCCTCCCTGCTTCCCCCCTCCCTTCGCCCTGCTTCCCCCCTCCTTCCTCCCTGCTTCCCCCTCCCTCCTCCCTGCTTCCCCCCTCCCACCGCCCTGCTTCCCCCCTCCCTCTGCCCTGCTTCCCCCCTCCCTATGCCCTGCTTCCTTCCTCCCTCCGCCCTGCTTCCCCCCTCCCTCCGCCCTGCTTCCCCCCTCCCTCCGCCCTGCTTCCCCCCTCCCTTCGCCCTGCTTCCCCCCTCCCTCCGCCAACCTTCCCCCCTCCCTTCGCCCTGCTTCCCCCCTCCCTCCGGCAGGCTTCCCCCCTCCCTCTGCCCTGCTTCCCCCCTCCCTCTGCCCTGCTTCCCCCCTCCCTATGCCTTGCTTCCCCCCTCCCTCCGCCCTGCTTCCCCCCTCCCTTCGCCCTGCTTCCCCCCTCCCTCCTCCTTGCTTCTCCCCTCCCTCCTCCCTGCTTCTCCCCTCCCTCCTCCCTGCTTCCCCCCTCCCTCCTCCTTGCTTCCCCCCTCCCTCCACCCTGCTTCCCCCCTCCCTCCGCCCTGTTTCCCCCCTCCCTCCGCCCTGCTTCCCCCCTCATAGCCACCTCCACAGCCCCCCACACACCACCCGCCTTCCCCCCTCATAGCCACCCGCTTCATCCGCCTCTTCCACCTCCCCAACCACCATCTCCTCCTGCACGTCTCTATTTCATCAGTATAGGGTTGTGGTAAGAATCGGTTCGGTGTGGTGTGGTGATGCGTGGTGTTTTGAGGTGTCGTATGGTTGGGAGAAGGGCATGCAGGAATGCTCAGTCAGGGAGTGGTGAAAGGCATTGCAAACACCAGGTACCATAACGGTTGGTGATGCTGTGATGGTGTGATGCTGTGATTCTGGGACACCCGGCTGCTCGTCCCTTTCCATCCCCCGACCATGTCCTTGTCCAACAAACAGTTCCCTTCCCACCATCATCTCTCCCCTTGTTCACCCAACCCACTCAGGAGATCTGTGCGCTCGTATGCAGCGGGGCTATTGTTCGGGGAGGTGGGTCCAGAGCACCCATGTTTATGCGTACAGAAGCATGGGGAGCAAAACTTCATGCAGATAGCGACAGCACCGATTGATACTGCAGTTGGCATTAGTATAACTTGTCGCATGCATGCAGGGCCGGCGCCTGCTCACAGGGCTAATTTGGGTCGCATGTGTAACTGCCTAAATTGTCTATTGCAACTACGATATGTGCAAGTGGGTCTTCAAGCAAAGGATATGCAGACTGGTACAAACTTATTACCAATGCTATCACATATAGGTTTAGGATAGAACGGCAAGTCTAATAAAACACCTCAAGCATGGCATGTTCAAGACCACAGTAGCGAAGTGGTGGTGTAAACACAAACCATTCACTCATCCTGACCTGCCACCCACACCTCCACCTCCTCCCCGTCGTAGCGGCCTTCTACCCACCACTCATCACTATTGTCGCTCCACTCCTCCACATCCGATGGGCTTTCAGCCACATCCCTCTCACAGTGGTAACCTGCAATCATCGCCAATGAAAAGGATGATAAGCCATATTTGCGGGTGGTGTGCCTGTCACTAAACCTAATCTCATCCCGCTCACAACGGCAGGGCATGGCAGTGGTAGGGCCTACCTGGGGTGGGGGGGACAAGGGCGGGGCGGGGCCTCACAGGGCATGGCAGGGCAGGGCATGGCATGACATGTATGGATGGAGCAGACCAGGGTGGGGCGGGCCATAACAAGGCAGGACAGGGCATGGCCCCTCTAGGCAGGGCATGACATGCTTAGAGGTTGCAGACAAGGGCGGGACAGGGCAGTACAGGCCAGGGCAGGGAAGGCTAGGACAGGGCATGGCATGACAAGTATGGATGGAGCAAACCAGGGTGGGGTGGGCCATAACAAGGCAGGGCAGGGCATGGCCCCTCTAGGCAGGGCATGACATGCTTAGAGGTTGCAGACAAGGGCGGGACAGGGCAGTACAGGCCAGGGCAGGGAAGGCTAGGACAGGGCATGGCATGACAAGTATGGATGGAGCAAACCAGGGTGGGGTGGGCCATAACAAGGCAGGGCAGGGCATGGCCCCTCTAGGCAGGGCATGACATGCATAGAGGTTGCAGACAAGGGCGGGACGGGGCAGTACAGGCCAGGGCATGCAAGGGCAGGACAGGGCAACTCATGTCCTGGGAGCAAACCAGGGCGGGGCGGGCCTGCACAAAGTAGGGCAGAGCATGGCCCCTCTAGGCATGGCATGGAATGCATATAGAGTGCAGACTAGGTTGTGAACGGGGCAAGACAGGGCAGGGCAGGGCGGGGAAGGGCATGACAGGGCACATGAACATGGAAATGGCCGCCCAGGTCCTGTGATGGCATTGCATGACTAGAACGAGCAGACAATGGCGGTGCATGCTGGTACAGGGAAGGGCATGGCATGGCATGCTTAGTGATAGCAAACAAGGATGGGATGTGGGGGCCAGGACACGGCAGGGTCCAAGCATGGCATGGCTTTATGGTTGTATAGATTTTAGATGCGGTTTGGCATAGGGCGTGTGGTGTTAGTCAAATACCTTGGGGGGTGTGGATTGTTGTGGTAGGCAACATTGTGGTTATGTGTGATGCCGAGCAAGCCTCGCGCGGGTTTGACAGCAGGCTAGATGTTCGCCTCAAACGCTTAGCGTGGGAGGTTCGACACATCCCCTACAAACAACAAAAAGAGGTAGCGGAAAACGCGGATTGGTGAACATTTTACGCTGGATAGCATGTTGGTGACATGAGTAAGAGCCATGTTCCGATACAATGACACCATTCACTTTGAGCCCCCGATGCTTACCCAAACGACGGCGTGCGGATCCACGAGACGTGCCGCACTCCCGACCGGTCCTGCCGCCTTGGCGCACTGGTGTCTCGGGCTCAAGTACGGATGTCGTGAGCCGTGCGATCGAAGCCTCGACCGGTTGCGCAGGCGTCGCTGAGGTGTCAGGCGTCTCTTCAACATCTACACTATCTCCAAATCGCAGTGATCGTTGCCATTCCTCCATGATGCGATCAACCCAGCCCCAATCCATCGGGGTCAAAATGCGCTCCTTGGATCCGCGTCGGATCCTCGTCACCTGCCGCACTCTCGTGCGATATGCGGTCACCAAACGATCCATGCCGTGATTCCAATGAAGAACCGCGAGACCGACGCGTGCCGGGAAACTGCCCTGAAACCTAATCCGCTTTGGTGCGTACTTGATGATCAAAGAATGAAACGACTCATTGAGTGAACTCGATGCGCCATGCACAAACGATTCCACCTTCTCAGGGCTTAAGTGCTTGGAGAACCACGCACGAACCGCCTTGTGTGTCGATGACCCAGACTCGTAAATGGCATGGTCCTTGCCCCACCCCTCTCTGACGCAGCGAGGTGGGGTATCTCCTACCCCAGAACATCCGGAGTGGTCACCTGCTCAGTGGTTGGGTGGGCTCCCAAGCTCCCTCGCCACGTCAGCAGCGGTCATAGGATGCCCCTCTTTCTTCTTCGCACCACATCGCATCATCACGTGATAGAAATGCGAGGATAAGCGTTGTGCCACAGTTTGTTCTTCCTTGCCAGAATCGATCTGATCTTCACCACGTTTCCGCTTTCGACGACCAGTCCACCGAGGTAGTGTCTCGGGCTCGCTGAACGCATTTGGGTTCTGCACTTCGGTATCAGCTCCGCCTCCGTCAAGCGCATCTGTGAATGTTAGAAAATGAAAGCCAAGAACTGAGTATGGAGATGCAGTTGGATCAAGCATGCTCAAAACCTGGGAAGAGGGTGCATACCTGGCCCCGTGTCTAGGTTGGCCCAAGGAGTGGATCCACCGACGAAATGGGAGTTTCCGTTCGCGCCCGCGTGCGCAAGCATGATGAGGGTGCTCGCCAAAGATGTCGGTCGCGCACCCTGCGTCGGGTGCACGTCATAACTCCAAAGCTCCTCCACGTCCTGCCTTGGGCGTGGGCTGGTGTGTGCATGCAAGTGCATGCAGGCCCAAGGCAGCAGCAACAACAGTTGCTGTGCCTTGGGCGTGGGCTGGTGTGTGCATGCAAGTGCATGCAGGCCCAAGGCAGCAACAACAAGAGTTACTGTGCCTTGGGCGTGGGCTGGTGTGTGCATGCAAGTGCATGCAGGCCCAAGGCAGCAGCAACAACAGTTGATGTGCCTTGGGCGTGGGCTGGTGTGTGCATGCAAGTGCATGCAGGCCCAAGGCAGCAGCAAAAACAGTTGCTTTGCCTTGGGCGTGGGATGGTGTGTGCATGCAAGTGCATGCAGGCCCAAGGCAGCAGCAACAAGAGTTGCTAAGCCTTGGGCGAGGGCTGGTTTGTGCGTGCAAGTGCATGCAGGCCCAAGGCAGCAGCAACAACAGTTGCTGTGCCTTGGGCGTGGGCTGGTGTGTGCATGCAAGTGCATGCAGGCCCAAGGCAGCAGCAACAACAGTTGCTGTGCCTTGGGCGTGGGCTGGTGTGTGCATGCAAGTGCATGCAGGCCCAAGGCAGCAGCAACAACAGTTGCTGTGCCTTGGGCGTGGGCTGGTGTGTGCATGCAAGTGCATGCAGGCCCAAGGCAGCAACAACAAGAGTTACTGTGCCTTGGGCGTGGGCTGGTGTGTGCATGCAAGTGCATGCAGGCCCAAGGCAGCAGCAACAACAGTTGATGTGCCTTGGGCGTGGGCTGGTGTGTGCATGCAAGTGCATGCAGGCCCAAGGCAGCAGCAAAAACAGTTGCTTTGCCTTGGGCGTGGGATGGTGTGTGCATGCAAGTGCATGCAGGCCCAAGGCAGCAGCAACAAGAGTTGCTAAGCCTTGGGCGAGGGCTGGTTTGTGCGTGCAAGTGCATGCAGGCCCAAGGCAGCAGCAACAACAGTTGCTGTGCCTTGGGCGTGGGCTGGTGTGTGCATGCAAGTGCATGCAGGCCCAAGGCAGCAGCAACAACAGTTGCTGTGCCTTGGGCGTGGGCTGGTGTGTGCATGCAAGTGCATGCAGGCCCAAGGCAGCAGCAACAACAGTTGCTGTGCCTTGGGCGTGGGCTGGTGTGTGCATGCAAGTGCATGCAGGCCCAAGGCAGCAGCAACAACAGTTGCTGTGCCTTGGGCGTGGGCTGGTGTGTGCATGCAAGTGCATGCAGGCCCAAGGCAGCAGCAACAACAGTTGATGTGCCTTGGGCGTGGGCTGGTGTGTGCATGCAAGTGCATGCAGGCCCAAGGCAGCAGCAAATAGAGTTGCTTTGCCTTGGGCGTGGGATGGTGTGTGCATGCAAGTGCATGCTGGCCCAAGGCAGCAGCAACAACAGTTGCTGTGCCTTGGGCGTGGGCTGGTGTGTGCATGCAAGTGCATGCAGGCCCAAGGCAGCAGCAACAACAGTTGCTGTGCCTTGGGCGTGGGCTGGTGTGTGCATGCAAGTGCATGCAGGCCCAAGGCAGCAGCAACAACAGTTGCTGTGCCTTGGGCGTGGGCTGGTGTGTGCATGCAAGTGCATGCAGGCCCAAGGCAGCAGCAAAAACAGTTGCTTTGCCTTGGGCGTGGGATGGTGTGTGTATGCAAGTGCATGCAGGCCCAAGGCAGCAGCAACAAGAGTTGCTAAGCCTTGGGCGAGGGCTGGTGTGTGCATGCAA